CATCAATATAACTCCGGTCAGAATTTCTCCCACTGGCCTGGATGTTGACATTTCCCAGGTGCAGAACAGCTGACAGGATCCTGAAGAGCTCCATCTGCTGGTCAGGCTGCACACCTGCAATTTCAACAAATACAACACTTTTATTTGACCTTCAATCAACAACATGATTCCTTATTAACAGAACCAAAACAGTTGCATCCTCAAAAATCATTGTGGAATGTACTGTGCATGTGTATGTGAGAGCAAACACTCTACCCAGAATGGTGAAAGCACTGCGAGTGCGTTCAAAATCCGACAAATCATCAGTTCCAGGAATCTGCATCTCTCCTCCCTGGCTGGTGTAGTGGAAATGCTCAGGTGCATCTGCAGGAAAAGCACAAAGCACAGACAGAGGGCATGCAACATGGACATTATAATAACAAAATGTCATTAAAGCCATGAATGGAAAGAGTGTAGACGTGGTAGTTTGTGATTGATTCTCACCTAGTTTAAGGGTTCTCATTTCAGGTAATTCTCTGGAGGCACACAGCTGGTAGAAGATGTGGTAGTTCCTCTCTGCTGATGCCTTACATGCACATAAACATACAATATTCATGGACAGGTAACATTTCACATCTTAATATAGGAAGGATTCTTACGTTCTAAATATCACTCTTACTTGGAAGACAACCCTTGACTTCTCCAGCAAGTATGTCCTCATGTTTGCCCCGATGATGTCCCCTTTTCTGCCAAAGCCGATCTCGATGTACTTCCCAAAACGACTGCTGTTGTCATTACGTGTGGTTTTAGCATTCCCAATGGACTGTAGGCAAAAGTGTTGTTTGTATTTAAAAATAATAATAATAATACATAATTAACAGGGAACTCCTCATTTCTTAGTGAGAAATTGTTTAACCATCCATCACCTCCATTATTGGGTTGGAGGCCAGAACTCTCTCCTCCACGCTGGTCTGCTGAGCTGCTCCTCCGACCACAGCAAAGTATCGCATGGTGAATTTGGCCGAGACTGTTTTCCCCGAGCCAGACTCTCCACTGATGATGATAGACTGGTTCTTCTCCTCCCTACACACACACACAGATAGCGCACAGTGTATTTGTAGTTAGAAAGACAGTAGAGGGAATATTCTAACTGATGTACGTTTTACTGTTTGAAAGGTTCCTGATGGTCATGACATGATCTCTAGCCTTTGACCTCTGACCTGGTCATAGTGCGGTAGGCTTCCTCAGCCACAGAAAAGATGTGAGGTTCCATGTCGGCCATGTCCTGACCGCTGTAAGCATCTATCACCTCCTCTCCATATATGGGGAGCTGGTCATAGGGATTGATGGCCACCAACACAATACCTGGAGGGACAGGAAAACCAAGTTACATCAGTGTGGGAGTGTGAATACTGACAGAACTGAGCTTTCACAAGAAGAAAATTTAGTATTTTGCAATAGCTATATCATTTTCAACTGTACAGAAAATGCATTTAAACATTTAATTTAAAGAGTAAACATTTTGGAATTCTATTAAAGGGACAGTTCGCCCCAAAAATCGGAGTGTTGGACATATCTGATGTAGAGATGTCCGCCTTCTCTCAAACAGCAATGTCTCTTTCCAGAAAGATAATCCACAGACCTTGCTGTGAGCAGTTTCATGTAGGAACTATTTTCATTCTACCAAACTACACCCACCAACTGTATCATCATGCAGAAGGAAGCATGCATCTACTGCTGGCTCACGTAGCACCACTGAACTAGCTAACATTACAGCTCAGTTGAAAAGGACGCCATTAATGTTTACATTGCGTGCTTTCACAAGCTCAACCTCTCATTCATGAGTAGATGAACACTTCCTTCTGCGTAATCATACAGTGGTGGATGTAGTTTGGTTGAAAGAAAATAGTTCCCACATGAAACTGCTCACAGCAAGGTCTGTGGATTATCCTGAGTTTCATGATTTCTGGAATGAGACATTGCTGTTGAGTTTTTCAAATTTATTTTTTGGCGCTTTCAGCACCACAGGCCGAGTGCCATCTAGTTCCATTATATAACATTTCTATGGCCAATATCTCCAACACTCAGCAACTCATACTAAAACAATCTTGACTGACAAAAAGAACTAAAGGTAAGAGGAAAAATATGTATTTTGATTTTGGGTTGAACTGTCCCTTTAACTTTAGCACTCGTAGTTCAATCTAAGATAAATCCAAATCAAGAAAATTCTCTAAAACTTGCTCTACTTTTAGTCTAACTCAAAGCACTCATAGTGAATATTATCACGCAACCGTTCTCATTTTATATGGATTTAAAGGTTAAAAAAATGTCGTGACAAACCCACAAAGATTTAAAAACAACAAAAATGTGATTTTGTCTAAATGGGCAGAGTGACTTTTAGAAAACTTTGCATCATCTACATAACAGGAAATATTTTATTACACCTTAAACAGGTGGTAGTGAGGGAGTCGCCTCCCTGGTTCAACCTTTGACCTACTGTAATATAGTTCACATTATGAGCTGTAATTATACAGACAGAAGCACACAGGAGCTGTCTGCTGACAGCACAAATCTGAAAGACCTTCTGTCACTAACATTGTCCCACTTTCAGTTGGACAATCATCCCAGTTTGAGCTAGACTTCCCTGAATCTTCCTTTTGCCCGTCCGTTGCTCACCACAGTAGGTGTAGATGCTGCTGTAGTCCAGGAATCGAACCCGCAGGTTGTGCAAAACGGCAGGTTCATGGAGGAAGCTGAGAGCTGTCAGATCATTTTCCCCCTCCAGGATGTCGGGGTTCCCCAGCGGTGGGAGATCAGAGGGGGACACCACTGGGTAATGTGCCTCCTGCCAATGGAGGAGAAAGTTAGGAGTTGTTGTGGGAAATTTAAAGTGTTTTGTAAAAATCTAAAGTGGACATAGTTATGAGGACTATGACACTTGAATGGTACTATGTGTCTCACCTTTCCATTAGAGAGCTGCAGCAGTACATGTTTGTCCCCAGGACTGTAGTCCTGGAGGAGCAGGGCTGACACCCAAACTGCATCTGGGTCAGGGATCCACACACTTGCCCCCTAACAAGGGAATAAACTGTTTCAGGGATGTGTTAAATAAAGAGGAAAAGAGACACTGCAGGTTGAACACACTCAGCATGTACTGGACCCCTGTGGAGGGCAGTAAAGACACTTCTATTGCATAATATTATATTTTCTGTCCCAACACTGTTCAGGTACATGCAACACTTCCTGGCCTCACCCAGGCAAGATTTTTGTCACCCATCAGCATAAAAGGCTCCTAAACAGTGTTAAAAATTAACACTGGTCATCCTGCTCTAAATTGCCTGCGTGGATTAGTCATTATCTACTTCTAACGTATCTAAATCGCTTATTAATGTGTCCACTTTATAGATAAATTTCACACTATGTTTCTTACAATTTTACACATTATTGACCACAAAGTTTACAGAAGTAAGGATGAAAAGTTTTTATCAGAGCAAATCTACAAGTTACTGTAACATATTGGCTCAAAAATCAGGAAATTCTTATAACTGGGAAATGCTGACACACACATACCAGATGTGTCATACAAACACTACAATACTCACATCATTAGCAATGTTTGTTTTTACATCATAATCCTTCTCATCTTTGTAACACCATACAAATGCCAAACCTTGCAGCAGAGTATAATAATTACATTAAACATAAAAAAAAGTCACTCTTACCTTGCTGTATAGCTCCAGAGACATCATCTTATCTACTTTAAAGCATGCCAGAAGACATCATTTAAAAAAAAATCAAGATGTTTAACATCTACATCTACATCTTTATCCTCCACACCTCTGCAGTACAGCCACTTGGCGTCCCGGTGACAGTATTTTGCACTTTGTCCAGGCTCACACGAAGACACGAGGACTGCCAGGTTAACTGTTAATCTGTGGGAGGACGCAGTGATTGGATGGAGGGGTTTCTCCATTTAAATGTGCAGAGTGTGAAGTATTAAAGTGAAGTAAAGTGACAACCCCTGACTAGGGGACATATGTTGTTTTCAATGCATAACAATAATACTAAAAGACAACTGATGAACTGTACAATTAAGCCAAATAGTGAGGGCAATAAATGCAGAGTGTCTATGTAAGAGGAGCAATTTGGATGAAAAAGCAGATAATTTCCTGTGAATATTGCATAAATGAGTTTCCCTGATATTTGTACATTTGTTTATACAATTCTGTTTTTTTTTAAACAATGATATACTGTAAAACTTCAATTAATAGCCCAGGCTACTAATTGCTTAAATCATTGATATCAGCTGGCCTATATTTGGGACAGGACTTTAATTCCTTTCACACAAAACTGTTGCTCAGCAAAGATCAGGAAATACAATCAAATTGTTTATTTAACTCAGCATGAATATAAATTGTATAAAAATTAGGCTTCAGATAACATATGAATTAGGAATAATTCTTTTTATCTAGCTCTGACAGAGCCCATCTGAGTTATGTCACCCAGCATACCGACACATCACCAATTTATCCTGTTCAAACAATACTCACAACTTGGATTACTTTTTATTAAAAAGTAGATTCTTCTGATCTAAGGATCCTTGCAGACTAAAGGAATATAAATAACTTACAGGGTAGTTGAGGAATAGACACATAATTTGAGGTAGCCAACAACCTGGTTTTATACATCTAGACCTTCTATTCAAAAAAATGAACTGCGCCCTTTTATCATGAATTATCGAAATTTTAAAATAATTTAATTTTCTTCAATAAATTGAAATAAATTAAATGCTAAAACATCGGTCCATTGAAAATTGTCTATACAAGTTTTCTTAAGCCCCTTAAAATCAAGAGGGTCTCACAACCCCCCTTGAAGCTTTAGAGACCCCTCATGGGGGTCAGGACCCCCAGGTTGGGAACCAGTCATAAGGAGGTCAAATTCATCTTCACACAGGTTTAACCAGCCTTACAGCGTATTTTCTTTACTTTTAAAAGAAAAAAAAGACACACTGGCAACAAACGTAATGACATACGGACTCATTTAATAAGTAATACAATCAAATTCATTTCAGCAATCAGCCTGCTGACATTGAGAAGGGATCTTAAATGATTTCAGCTGGATACATTATTCACCAAAAAACCTCGACAGACAGGGATAAAAATAAAATACAAAATCATTACTCCTCAGATGATAAATGACATTAAAACTAGTCTTAACCGTAATTTGCCGTGTCGTCAGTTTTGTGCGTGGGTTTACATGGAGGCAGCATGTGTGTGGTAACATTGACACATTAAACCGTGACAGAAACAAAGCCCGGACAGCCATGTTTCACAACGTCAGTAAGCACCTATAATGATGAAGAGTTAAAAACAGTTATCATTGTACAATAGAAAGAGGTTTCAAGTCATTTCTTTCCCATTGTGCCCCATCACGTGTACTTTCTCCTTGTGGTTAGTTGTACAACAACAGAGCCGATATAATCGCTCACGGTAAAACACCAAGCAGATGTCTGTTACAGCGAGAACGACCCTCGTCAAAATGACACGTCTCCTCTTTGGTTAATACTGAACATGACTCACGGGATGACACAGCCGTCATGAAGTACAATATTTCCTTGAAATCACAACAATAAAAACTTGACTCTGTTCACTCCGATGAACGTATATACAAGGGATTAAAACTACAGCTTCTGCATTCATAACATCCGCACTGTGGCCGATTTAAATTAGCTCAACTTGGTTCACATCTCGACTGGTGAGGCATGCCAACAATACAAAACATTCATTTCCAATCTGCCCGTGACAAACCAAAAATAAAAAGCACCCAGGTTGACGTTTTGCTGACATAAAATGTTTGGATTTGACATGATTGTCACAAAAATACAAACCCATTCAAAGCCTTTCAGTAAAAAAACGCTCAAACGCTTCTCATCGAACACTGAATTTGACACTGTAGGTAAGTTATTATTAATATTGGAAAGTTCATGGGAATTTTGTAAAAATTTCCTCGTCAAAAATCAATCAAGCTTAGAAACTGAGTAACTTTAATTGCAGTTGAAGTCAAGGAGTCCCATCCAGTGGAGTTAAAGATGAAGTGATGCATTTGAGACTCCAAGTGTTTCGGGGTCAGGTGAAGGGAAGACTTCTTTAGGTTGCACTGGACTGGTGTAAGTCAGGTTACGGTTTAAGTTGGACGCAGATACTCGGGGACAGTTCATCAGGGCGGGACTGTTGTATGGCTCCTACTGTTCATGGTCGTGTGTGTGCAGGTGTCGAACAAAACCCTACAAGAAGAGAGGAGTGGCCATTAGAAGAAACATATTCTCTTGTTTTCTGGATTACCAGGTTGCACCCAGCCTAACATCATCAGACCAAATCACAAATGCCACTTAGTCTGGAACCTCTGGGTTTATTTTCAATTTCCAGAGGATGGCACCAACAGCCGTAAACCAAAATGCCTCTGGACACATTGGATGGACCTACAACCAGTCAGAGCAACGAAACATCTTTCCTGCCCTTAGCTTCATGATCGCCGTAGTGTCCCAGTGCAAGGTTGCGCGAACCAAAATGACGTCATCACATATTTTGCGTAAAGCCTGAAGGCTCTGTGATTCATCAGTCATCATATCAAACCCTCCCCAAAGTAGAGGGACAGATGTGATTGGCCCAACCTATTTGGGGGCAGCTGGACATTTGTTTGAATGGGAGGGCAACCAGACGCATCTGCCAGAACAAACAAAACATGAGCTCACAGATTCGTCTGGTTCCCAGGCTAGGTTGCATTTTATACTGTGTAATAATTCTTGCACAAAGTACAAAACTCATGATATGCTTTTAAACAAGCTGGAAAATACAAGAGACTTTATTTTTTTAAATTGACTTCAACATTAATTCACAGGTTACTTTGTTTTCTGTGTGAGCCACAGGTGGTATAAAAGGTCAAACACTGTTTATTGTCTGTATAGTTTGCTCAGAGGCATTATCCCTTCACCAACCTGTGCTATACGCTCTCCATATCTTCACTGCCGTTACCTTCCTCCTTCAGAGCCTCTCCGTCATTGGCAGCCTCCTCAACATGGGCCAACATATCAGCCATCAGTGCCTCCTCTAGCCTTTTCCTCACACTGTATACCAGCTCCTCCTGTTTCCTACACACAAACACAACAGGAAGCTGTTACAGTTGGCAGTTACAGCTGCCTATAACAGCCACTGAATCAGCACTGAGCAGATGGTGTGTTTTTACAAAGAGCAGGGTCACTTATTATGGACCCTGGAACTGCTGAACACACTCAACCCCATCAACTTTGGGGAGATCAAGGACGGCAAAGAGTGATGAAGAAATCTTCAAGGTCATTTCAGATTTGGAAGAGATCATTATTGTGCTTTAGCTTATAAAATGGAAGCCAAAATCTCATGAGCTGGTAAATCAGATAGCATATGCCGTTATTCACACTGCCTGAGTGGTCATGTCCTGTTTTTTAACACACTGAAGGAGATCAGAGTAGGGCTGCCCCCCAACTAAGAATTTTCCTAGTTGCCCAATAGTCGTCATTTAGGGCCATTAGTCATCTAGTCGCCCACATGTTTACGATATTAATGTAATTATTAGATTATATATTTTGGGCGGGGCAACACAATGGTTTGAGTTGAAGGTGTGAGAAAGAATAGTATCAGTAACATTGTTAACACTGTGCTACATTACAGAGAAATACAAAACCGTACTAATGAACCTTCATTAATATAGGCCTATATTTTATCTACAAGTGCACGTCACACACTGAGCGAGCCGCCTGTTAATGACGCTGTGGGCTAATGGGCATGTAGCTACTTCCATGTTTCAGATGATACGTCATGTTTGTAGTCGACCAATGAAGATGAGTTTACATATCACCTAAGGTTCGTCCTTCACCTTCTCAAAATGATCCCACACTTTGAATTTCCTGCCCGACATGTTATTAACTAGCCTGTGGAATAACCACAGGTACCAGCCCTGTTCATTAGTGGCCGTACACATGCCGTGTATTTAACCCCCTGGAATACACAAGGTCAGGCACTGGGTGCAACTGTTGTGCCTTTTTTAAGCAACCTTAACAAGCACCGTATCATAGCTTATCTACCCGAAATCCTGAGTGCAGACTGAATATTTACAGAAGAAGGGAAAGATATCTGTCGACTGTGATTGGTTTGTAACATGACTCCTGTCTGACTGCTGAGCGTGGCCACTTCCTGTGTCTGTCCTTTCAAAATAAAGTTTTGATTTATTTTGACGAGGTGTAGCTCCTAACAGAGTTTGTTTTGGGATTTTTTCTGCGACTAAGCGACCAATGAAATCTTGCCGACTAATGACCTTTCTGGTCGACTAACATTTGGTCAACTATTTGGGGGCAGCCCTGGGTCAGAATAAGATTTGTAACAGAATTGCTTCACAGACACACATGCTGATAAATTTTGCATAAAGCCAAATGGTCAAAAAAGGTCAAACGAGGAACAGGAACTGCATTTTGGATCTGACTCTTGGATACTGGCTCTATTCAGAGACAAGGTGATCCGTGTGTCTGTGAAGTGTTCTGTGATCGCCCACCTGATGTCCTCATCAGTGACTATGAAGGCCTTGCACAGCGGCTGTGTGGTGTTGAGCCAGACTCCTGGGTTCTTCTCCACGGCTGCAGACAGCTGGCCGGTGATGGGAGCGGCGCTGGTGTGCAGAGCGCTTGCAATAGCTGACAGGAGAGTCTTGTCTGTGCAGCCTGGACCGACACCTAAAGGACCGAAACATTAAAGCTGTAACTCTGCTCAAGATGAGTTACATTTTACAGAAGAATGTGCCAGCTGTGGATTGTAGATGTTAAGATATGGATGGTCTGTATTTATTTATGCACACAGAGGATGAGAGAGCTGGGGCAGAAGCATTTCACTGCACTTGTAAGTTAGGTTAAGTGACAATAAACTTAAACTGGAAATAAAAAAAAATCTGGGGCTGATACTGACATGATATGAAGTGTCATTTCAGAATATAAACTGTCGTTTAACTTGTGTGTATTACCTTGTAGTCCTTTAGGCAGTTCCATTGTTTTGACCAGCTCCTCTGCGATGTCATAAGCATTAAGACCACTGAGTTTCTTCTCCCAAAATAGCTGCAGAGAAAAACAGAGAGTCATTAGCTGCGGGTAGACAGACAGAAACCACACCATTTAAATGAAAGTATGCTGCTGCTTCCAGTACAACAAAAGGGAAATACATTATCAACATATTCAAACTCCAGTCTGGTCTATCCGGTTACAAAGCAGCACATTTGGTTCCAGCGTCAGATAACATGCGTTTCCTGTTTTTGTGGGATGATATTAACGGTAACAGGCAGAGTCTGGTTACCTGTCTGGGCTGGTCAACGGCTTTCTGAGGATCTGTCTTCACTTTGTTGTTTGGGTGGTTGGTAACCTTGGTAACAGGCTGCTTAAAGATGGAGGCTGTCTGTCTGACTGGTAGTGATGTGTTCAAGTCAGGTTTGCCCTGCAAAATATCAAACACAGAGAGAGGTGAGGAGAATGAAAGGAGCAAAGTGATAGACGATGAAGGATTATTCCACAAAACTGTTCACTGATTACACCACACACAAGGATAGGTATCTCATTATTAGAGCTTTCAGAGATGAAAACAAGTCTGGAAGGAGAGAGAAGTAACTTTGCTGTGGCTTCCTTTTCTCAACACACTGCCACCTGCTGTGCCGATGAAACATATCTGTTTAAGTTACTGATGCTCAACATTATCTGCCTTTATATACAATTATTCATTTAACTTCTTAAACCAAACTCATCCGAGACTCTACGTCTAGGATAAAGTGACTGATTATTTTAAAACTGGAACAAGACAGCTTAGTGCTTTAAGGCTGGGTGGTAGAGAAAATCAAACAGCACAATATTTTTGACCAAATACCTCAATATTGATAGTGACAATATTGTAGGATTAACTATTGTTGCTTTCACAAACTATTTCGCTCTAATATTTTTGATAAATTATCAACAGTAATGTGGATATAAGAACTGAGTGAGTTAAGGCAAACAATAGCACAGCAAAGACAGTCTTCTAAGGTCAGAAAATTGCATCACTTTACTGTAAGGCAGACTTTAAAACACCACATTTCAATATCCAAAATCTGAGACAATATCTAGTCTAGTGTGATATCAATGTAATATTGATATTTTGCCCAGTCCTAGTGCTGACTATCTTCATTAAAGGAATACTTCACCCACAAAATTACCATTTGTATATCAATGACTCACCCTGTATTACCTTAAATAGTCATGAACACTTTTCTCACATGCCTCCATGTGAACGAATGGCCAACATCATTGATAAATTGGAGTAAAAGGAGACTGTGTTAAACAACAGCAAAACTATATCAAAACATCTGTTTACAAACACTCACACAACTCGTACAGTATAAGTCTCATTTATCCAGTTGTATGCTCAGTGTTTCCCAAACACATGCATATTCACTACAACCTTACCGTTTAAAACACTTCAGCTTAAGCAGTCCCAAGCAGCGCAGCTGGGCAGCACATACGTTTGAACTCTGGTCAATGAAATGCATTAGCAGTTCAAATGCAAGCGCTTGCCCAGGCACGCTACTTGTATGCAGAAGTGTTAGAAATACTAAGGTATAAGTGAAAATAAATTTGTTTGGGAAGCACTGAGCATACGCCTGGATAAATGAGACTTGGATTATGGTGTGTGAGAGTTTGTGAACAGATGTTTTGATATGGTTTTGCTATTATTAAATGCAGACGCTGATTACTTCAATTCGTCAAGAATGTTGGCTGATTTTTTATTCTTCTACCCTGTGGAGGCATGCAAAGAAAGCAAAGCATTCTTTACGAATTCAAGGTAACATGGGCGAGTAACTGAAAGGTCATTTTGTGGGTGAGGTATTCATTTAGCCTACTCCTACATTAGTCCCTCTCCAGCTCTGATGTGGATATAATAAGGCATCAGTTGGGCAGTTTTTGTATTATCTAACCCAGTGGTTCCCAACTCGTGCAACCACGGGGTCCAGATTTCTCCTTAGTCATTAGTTCAAGATCCACACAGTTTAATATATATAGCATCATGCTTGTGTTTGGCCATGTCGTCGATCTAGTTTGCTGTCTCTGTTAGTCACTCCCTTTACAGCAGGAGACGGCACTTTAAAATAAAGCTCTGTGCTGGAAACCTGGACCCACTTTTCGATTGTGACCCACCAGTTGGGAACCACTGATCTAACCTCTCACATTGACATATTTACATATTATTCATAGGTCGTCTACATTAATAAAAGTTGCAAGTAGTAGTAATATAAAATGTTGCCTTTTTGTTAAAAAGACAGCAACCAAACACAAATGAGTGATTCTTGTCCGCAATGTTTATGTGAGGGTGCAGCGCTCACCCTGTTGACACCTATATCATAGTGCTCTCATGCAAGACACAGAGTCCAGGCCACCATCATTTGTTTTTGGCGGTCAGTGGTTGGTCATCATGCGCTCGCTATTCTCACCTTGTTTTGGTTGTTGTTATCATAGCGCAGTCTCTGCCGGTTCTTGTTCAGCTTGCTCATCAGCATCTTCCCTGTGCGGAAATCAAAGGAGCTGAGGTCCATCTGGTTACCAAGGTAACGGGCCAGCTGAGGCTTGCTCCGAAACTTCTTCCCAGATGGACTGGTGAGGAGGCAGAGAAATGAGAAACCACTATACTCGCATCATGTCTTACAAAAACAGAAAAGAGAGTATCAAGACTGGGAAAACACAAACAGAGACGACGGCAGGGAAACAAAACTTGACGGGTCAACACTTCAAAACACATTACACACACACACACACACACACACACACACACAGCAGACAGAGAAATTACACACAAGGACCACAACATGCAACAGGTCGAAAGCAAACAGAAGCAGAGCACATTCAAGTGGGCAATGACATTGAAATCACATTACTTTGTGAAATGGATGCAAGTCTCTGATGAACACTACCTGAGCCTGGTTATCTACAACAAGCTGCACACATTGCTGTAACAGTAATAATAATGATAATAAGCAGATATGACTGAGAACATGTTCAACAACAGCCTGAAATTAACCTGTAGGAACACAATGTAAACATGGCAGTACTTGACCAAATGTTTCAGAATGAAAACATTGTAGCTCCACATGTGGAAGCAACAACATCTGAAGCCTGAGCAATGACCAACAGAAGGAACAACTGTGGGTGGATACGTGCTAGTAACTCATGCAAATGTCTCTTACATCACACACCACAGTTAACACCAGTATGAGTGTACAGTTATAGCCTACCACAAACTATACAACCGACCCGCCTCCCCCCTCTCTTGCCTCTGTTCCTCATCTTGCTCTTCTCCTCTGCTAAATGAAAACAAATCTGGCGTTGTTGGTTCACTTCACTGGGAAATAAAGAGTATTAACTGAGATGACACTGGGTTTAATTCATCAAGAGGCCTCGCCAGGCGTGAGCTGCTACCACTAGCCTCACACACTCCTCCTTATCTCCTCACTTGTGAGAGGAGCTGGCCTGGCTGGCCTTGTTACCCGGCTGCACACAGACCCCCCTCCCCTTCACATCCCAAACTTTACACACACACAGCACCGTCCCCCCTTATCACACTCCTATCTGTTTCCATCCGCAAACTCGGTGTCTTGTGCACCTAGCGTTAGAAGTTTTGCAACCCTGGTTTCGTTTAGTACCTAAAATAATAGACATCGCTTTTTCCAGCTGACAAACCCGACTTTCTGGTCACTTCTTCCATTTTCCAGCCCTTGGGGAGAGCAGTGCAATCCCACCTTTTCTTCTCCATTTCCCACGCGAGTAGCCTATAAATCCACTAAAAGTTACTGCGGATAACCAGATTGGATTTTAGGATTTGTTTTTGGATGGCAGGCCTATTGCTTTGTTTCGACCATATTACAACATGCGTCCTCTGTAATGGGATCTCCCTGCTAACAACATCTCATCTCTTTGTCGTCGCGCAGATCGCTCCGCCGCGGACCTCGGCCACATCACTACCTGCCTGTCTCGCCGGGGCACGAGGGCTACATCCGCAAGGAAAACATAGGGCAGCGCGGCGGCGTCAAGGTACGGTGAGGCAGCCAGGAAGAGACAGGAAGTTACTGCAGATTTGTCACGGAATTAAACGCATCAAACGGGTGATAGAAATATATACACGGTTTGAGCCAAAGTCTGACACTAAATCAATTATACTCAGTTTTAAAACTTTAATGTAATGTATGCATGTACATTTCTTTAAACATACCATTTATATTAATACTGTGTAACATTCCTGTGCGATATTTGCCACTAACAATATGTGTGCAATAATATTTATATATTTTTATAGGCTATTTTTTTCAGTAAATACACTACACCCCATGTGTATACAATTATCCTGTGCAAATATTATGGCCATACAGTATCTGTAAGGTGTATATAGAGTACAAAGATTTTATATTATTTTATTCTTATTTTATCTGATTTGTATTTTTGTATTTTATTTATCACTCAGTCACATTTTCCCTTTTGTTTGCGACTACTGAGCTGCTATAACAAGTACATTGCCCCAGGGATTAATAAAATCTTATTTCTATTTTATATTATCTTAAAGAAGATATGATCAAACATTTTTCTACATCCTGTCATTCACTATTAATTTGTGTTTAGTACCTTGCAATTTGACTAAAGGCTATTCTATTACTGTTCCTCAGTCTGTCCTGTGTTTTTATGTACTATTTTGATCACAATCTCAATTAAATTTAGCAGATTAATTAAAGATCATGTATAACAAATTGGGCCCAGTAATTAAATGTATAAAATCTGAGAATATTTTGCACCTGAAAAATCACCAGGTGTTTATGGTAACTATCTTAATGCATTTGACTGGAAATTCAATATTGACCATGGGGAAAAATGTTTTGACAAAAATTACCTTTTAGTTTTTTGTGGCGCTTTCAAAAATATGTCACCGTTTTGTCGTCACCAATTGTCTTTCATTTTATATTCCAGCCAGACCATTTTTTCCACTGCTTTACTTTTAAAACCCTGAGGCTTATGACTTCTCCTGAAACATCACTCCTTTTTTTTCATATTTTCTTTTAACTCTCTGGTGTTTATGCAGTTTTATGTCTGTGCAAAAAAATAAAATAACATAAAATGAAATGAAATTAAATTAAATGAACAAAATTATCAGTGAGAGTGCTTCCTGTTTTCATGTCCCTGTGGAACTCACTGCCTCTATTGTAAGCTCTCTTGCTAATTTGAATAGGAAATTAAAGACCTATCTCTTAAATCTGGCTTTTAGTTTTAGGGTGAAGTCATTGGTTTTTTAATGGGTTTTTTTGTTTGTTTGTTTTTGGGTTTTTTTTTTTGGTTGTGTTGTTTCAATTTTGCTATGTTATCTAGGCTACCTAGGCTGCATGTTTGTATGAAAGTTAGGTTAAATTGAGTTTTGTTAAATGATTTTTTGGGCTTTTTTATTGATATAATTTTCTAGTGTTGGAATAATGTATGTATTTTTGTTTATTTATTTAGTTAGTTAGTTTTTGTCTGTGTTGTTTCAAATTTGCTATGTGAAGTAGGCTTAAAATTAATTTTATCCCTGGTGTTAATTCTATTTTATTGAGGGTTTTTTTTAGTCAATGTTTTTAGCTGTTTTTATTGTTATAGTTTTCTAGTCTTGCAAATTTTATTTTTTGTTTAACTATTTATTTATCTACCTATTCTTTGCTTGTGTTTCAGTTTTGCTATGTGACATAGGCTACTAATGCTGCATATTTGTATGGAAGTTGAGTTAAACTGAGCTGCCATCTTGGATTAAAATATTCTAGCAAGCCTTTAAATTATTTTTGTATACCTGGTTATCTCAAAACTTTGGTTTAGTTAACTTAATCTAACTCACTAGATCATGTGAAGGTAACTGTGAAACACAAACATTTAAACGAACCCTCAACATACGTTTTGACGGTTGGTCTTTTGTTTTGAAAAGCTACACCGGAAGTCTCCCTTTCTTGTCCGTTTACCTTGACGTTGGTCGCTAGCACTACGTTCAATGTTAACCTATGGGAAACATAAATTAGGCTACAGCTACAAATAGACCGTAAATAGTCACCACGCAGAAGCAGTGACAACAGTCATGGCGGCCGCTGAATAATTTAATCTCCCGGCTGTAGTAAGAACACGTCCCTCACTTGTAGCTCGCTCATTAACACAAAATGTGAAAGTTTCATGTCAGCTCGGTGAAATAGGAGAGCCGTTTGACCACGACAATGCCTGCCGTTGTCATTCAGACTCGGAGCCGGCTTTTATGAATGAACAAAGTAGATCTCACCGATAAAACACAGACACCATTTTAAACGCATATCATGCATTTACGGAGGCTTTGTGTGTGTGTGTAACAGCGATGCGGGAGAAATGTGAGCTGCTTTGTAAGGTTGAAATCTATCATGTCGAAATAGCTCCGTGTCGACGCAGCGTCGCGACTCCATGCTTAATTTCACATTAGCTGTAAATATCAGGACAATTAAAGCACATTACAATGATGCTAAATAAAGGAGCGACATCCTAGCTGGAGACCACAGCGGTGCTATTTGCAAATGCGATACACCAGAGTGCATCAGCCTGATCGATGATAAACATACTTTCCAAATATATTATGAGGACGACATATCGCGCATCACACGCTACAATTGCAATTATTAGTTGCTGATGGTTTCGTGAGCCTTCAGATCATGTACTTACTCGTTTTTATCCATCTTGAAGACACTATCTCGTTTTCTCTCTCTCGCTAACGTTATGTTAAATCCCTTCTCCCCTCTCCTCTTTCAGTCCCCTCCCCCTTCGATGGGAGAAATGAAAGACATTATCCACGCAAATTTCGCAGTCTGGCTGATAAAATGAGTTTAATGTCTGGGCACACCTCAGTGTGCATGCAGCCTCATAACACCTCTGTACATATATGATTCATCATGCATTGGGAATTGCATTATCACAGACTTTGCATATACATTGCCTTCAATAATTTTATTTCACATTAAATTTACAGTACAAATAGTCATGACAGTTGGTAAATATCAGGTGGACAAATCCACACTTTTATTTGCCACATGCAACAGAGAATTAGTGCATATCCACAAAATAGATTTCTTTTAAAAAACTTCTCACCAAGCAATCCAAACAAAGCATTTTCATACTTGACATTTTGCAGAATAACCGGACACACTGTTGCAAATTATAGATTTATTCACATTAAATAATACTGGATTAAAAACAGCCTTTTTATACACAGTGCATCTTGTTGTCCAAACTCCTAACAGGCCCTCAGTGACTGATTGTCGAGTCAGGGCATCCTACTTAAGCTTGCGGCAGCGTGTAAGCAATCCACCCATGTGCCCCATTCCCAAGCTCTGGTCCTGTGGGCAGACACACATGCCCCATTTATTAGCAAAATGTACATGAACACATCTGTTTAAAAGTGTAAAAAAAAGCACATGGATGTCTGACAAGATCACATTCAAGTTCAAGGGGGTGATGAAGGGAATTGCAGAAGGTTTGGGGTGGCGATGAGGGTTCAAACTGTGTGTTAACTTTAATAAGGTTTGGAAATATCAAGCCCAATTAAAGCCCATGATACCCAAATGGATCTCATGGGATTCAAGATGAAATACAAGTAACATTATACTGATGATATACTTGATCATTATAGGAAAGTACAAATTGGCAGTACCAAAACTGTTGCCATATTATTGATAATTATGAAGACAGTAAAAATAAATATTAAAGTTAGTCATTTCAATGTTAAGCTCCTAACTCTACACCACAAAAATACACTTAAACAATGAAAATTTAAACACTTAAAACCTGTTGGGTCAGCTCTACCAAATGCATACATTTTAAAACCTTTTATCATAAACAGCTTCCATTTTAAAACTAATCTGATCTATTTGCAGAGCTTTAGATTAGACAGAAGCGTAAAGCCTTTATGTTTACACAGTTGCCACTTAACAAGCTTACACAAGCTACAAGACCTCAACGGCCTTTATTCACAGCCTGCAGTGAACTTGGGTTAGTGATCACAACAGATTCAGTCGCCATGGCCTCAGTGTGGGGTTACCTGTGCAGTAGAGTAGAGTTCTACCAAACTGCCAGGTGTAAGCAACATGGCAACTTTTACCAATACTCAGGAGTGGTTATTTGAATATTCAGTTCCAACACCTGGCACAGCTGACACCTGTCTGCTTCTTATCACAAGTTAAGGGTGGGGCTAAAGCTAACAAGCAATCCGACTGAACACTGCAAACAAAGTGTGTGGATGCAAGTACAGTTACACACGTGCTGGATATCATCTCAGTACACTCACAATGTAGTTGTGCAGGACTTTACTCATCGTTGTTGAACTTCCCTTTGATGTATGGCACATAGTCCAGAACCAGTCGCCAATCTGTGAAGTGAACAAGCGCCACTCCACCGACTGTTCCCCAGGCAACCATATTTGGCACCCTAGACAGAAGAAAACAATGACACAGTGGAGTGCAATCCACATATCAATGTTATCTTGGGTAGCAACAGCAAGCACATTTCCCTACGTATGTACCAACTGACACAGTAATGGCCAAATTCATCTTCTGAAGATCTGTTGAGGGCTTTAAAAAAGTCAATTTCTTTTCATCTTTTGCAGTGGTTGCTACTTTCATACGTTCATTATTATAGTTAATATAATTATAAGTAAGGTTGGAAATTAGCACCAGCAACTAGCCAAATGCTGGTAAAATATGAAAGTGACATTTGAAAGCTACATTTGCTTCACTCATCAGCCAAAAGTCTGTTGAGTGGCAGCCACAGTAGAAGGTGAATTAAAAGGTCAATTTCCAACCCTGATTGTGAGTTATAAGTTTATGATTATTGACAAGAACCAAATAAAGTAGCTCAAACACTGGTTTAAGTTGTTGTGTATGGGCAAAAGTGATTTTTTTGTGGAAACAAAGAGTCAATAATTAGCTAGTTGATAGAGACAAGATGATCATTTATTAGTCTTTGTGTTAATTTATTACCTTTTCAACAATTGTTTACAAATGGTAACAATTATTATTACTATTACTATTAATGACTGTTAAGCATTGGCCATTGGAGTTTTTCCTCTTTGTATTTCCAAGTTAGGGTTGCAGCGATACACCAGTTTCAAGGTATACCATGATATAAAAGTTGACGGATATTATTCCCTGCACATTGGCTTATCTATGTATTACAAAAAATTTAAGTTATTTTCAAGTTTCCATTCATTATTGTGATAAAAACCCATCCATTTTCATACCTGAATCATTCTGACTGATAATAATTCTGTATTACCATGATACTGTGAAACCTGAGCTGGTTATCATACCATGAAAATCTCATACCACTGCAACACTATGGCAAGGTCAAGTATAGGGCAGTGGTCTTAGTGTTTCTACAAAATATACAGCTGTCAAGCAAACTATAGTAAGTGACCAACATATCTTTATGCCATTAAAGCACAAGCTGAATTCTGATAATACTATTTTACATTCTTGTATAATTGGGAGATTTATCAGACTAATAAACTGGTAATATTTCATAAAACTGAGATGCCATTATGTTAGCAAAGGAATATGAACAGTTTTGAACTTTGATGTTAAGGGTGTTGAAATCTATTAATTTCAACATAATTTTTGTATAATTAACTAGTAATTAAATCTCCAAAACATTTGACATGATACTCACAAACACAAATATTGTCACAGTCAATGTAATCACTGCTTCTCGCACCTTCCACTGCACTAGCTGTCAGGTAGAAGAATTATGCTAACTAGCCTAGCTAGCAGTCAATAGGAAATGAACGAGCATGCTAAGCTAATGTTAGCATACAAGCCCAGCGGGTCACACAGAAGGACACAGAGGCGCTGACAATATTTTAAACACGACGACAACTATAAAAAAACTCTGTTGCTGATTCAACTTACCACATCCTTAAAATAGAAATGTACTTGGCACCGACGACTTTACGGAGTATTTTCTCGACCATCCTGACCTTCTTAGAGTTGTAGTTCTTTACTTATCGCAATGTTTTCTCGCTGATGGCTGTAAAGGACCCCGACTGGGCTGCCTTTTCTTATGCCTGATAAAAATAACAGACGGGGCTGCGTGCTGCCGCTGCGGGTCATTTCAGGCCACCATTTCAAAGGTCTCGGTTGTTTTCAACACAGAGCTGTGGCTGCAGCCATGTAGCTATTACTAATATACAAGTCCTGCTTATGTTGGCGTGATGAAATCAACTGGTATTCACTAGTGTAATGTGTTGAAATAAATGTGGTGCCTGTGTTGCCTCCTCACCTCACCTAAATGGGTGCAACACACACAGACTTAGGGTTGTTTTGCAGCTTAAGTAGTCATCATGTATACTTTTGTGGACATGTTGTACCTATTATTGGTTATTTTGTGTCTTTTGGTAGTAGTATGGGTCTCCTTGAGGTGTTTTTGTGTCTTTCTTGGTCATTCTGTGATCATTTTTTGTCTCCTCGTGGTTGTTTTGCCTGTTTTGTAGATTATATGTGAACATTTGCAGTTCATTTGCATCTTTTGTGATCATGAGTCTCCTTCTGGTCAGTTTGTGTTAATTTGAGTGACGTTTTGAAGGTGAGGGCCCCCCGAGGCCTGTACCTAGTAGGCCCGTTCTGTAATCCATCCATGATGAGGCTGTCATAAACACATTAGGTCCCTAAACGGCTACTGACAATGGCAAATATGAACAAATTCATTTTCCATACTACAATAAACCCTTTATTACAATGTTTTCCTTTATTTTCCTTTTTATGTATACAATATTCAAAAGCCAGACATTGGAAAAGGTATAATCTGTTATTAAAAATGGCACATTTATTGCTACATTACTGTTATATACAGGACAGTTCTCAACTATATATATTTATATATATATTTATATATAAAAAAAGAGAGAGAGAGAGATGGAGTGAGGCGCTCCAAGGACCCCGCAGGCGTTGCCAGCATCCTCACTCCCAAGATGTCAGGCTCTGTACCTGTGAATGTATGTAACACTCAATAGTCTCCCCCTTTTTTAGTTCAACAAAGATATGACAAAACTGTTGAAAGCAAGTGTTTTATTACTGCTTTCTTAGACCAAAACAAGTTCAAGCCCGTCAACTTAACATTTTCCATCATTATATTGTAATTTTCGGTTGACATCATGTGCTCCTGCAGTGGCTGGGTTGCTTCTCTGCAGATTTCAAACTAAGTCAAGACTCGTGTTAAGAAATAAGGTTCCCCCTCCCCAAACAAATAATCTGAGCATGTAGCTCGTCAGCTAATGGGATGCTCACAGAATGCTAAATGACATCAAGTCGGATTTTCCTCTTGGAACAAATATTCAGTACAATTATTGATCTTGTAATAATAAAAAGAAAAACTTCAAATACAACTTTTTGAGAGAAGTGATTAGGACTTCTCACAAAGAGTCACTGTCAACGGCATCAGAGAGCTGGAAGAGTGAAAGGTCAAAGGTGAAAATAGTCACTGGAGACTAAGTATACTGAAAGTCACTGCAGCAAACGGCTTGCACTCTGATATACAGAAATTTAAAATGCTCCAAGTCATTAGAGGTTCCAGCTACGACGGGAAAAATAAAACTCACTCCCTACATTGAGATTGAAGCAACACATACACTGAAACATGTTAATGTGCATCAAAAGCAGACAATCAGAGCCAAAAGCAGCATCTCTTGAACCCTGTCATGTCAGGTGATATAGCAAAATAGGGCAGATAGAAAGAAAACTCATGACCTGGACCCATGACCTTAACTAAAAACAGCAGTTTGGACAATATAATCCAGTTGAACAATTAGAAAAAAAGGGAATAAAAACTAAACAAGATCTACGTAACATTTATTTATTTAACTAGATACACTGAAAGAAAATCTCTTTATACCATTTAAACTTCTTCCTGAAAATTGAAAAAAGCATTAGGAGAAGGGAGGGTGGGGGAATGAACAAGTACCTCTTTAATCTCCATGATAAATGAAATGATATGGTTCACAAAATAAAACTGTCTCAAATGAAAAATACAAGTTCAGGCACTGATAAGGTATCACTCTCCCATCATGTCATCTTCTTAAGTCTTGAGAATGAAAAGGCCACACTATTGATTTGTATAGGTCTTTTTCTTCATCTCTTTTCGTAGAAATTAAACACACAAAATGCTCTACCTCCCACTTGTGATTACATGTTGGTAAAAATCATTCACAACATGACATGACATGGGAATAACATCACAATAACACTGTTTTGTTCTCCGTATTATCCATTACCGTACACCCAAATACCGACGTCTGCCTCTGAAATAAATGTGCAGGCTACTAAAAAGTGAGCTGCACACTGAGAGCCACTTGTTGCGGGCAAACATTAGAAAAAAGGTGAAATGAAAACTAGTATACTGTACTGACAAAAACCCAGGAACACAAATTTGACAATGAAGGTGATCCACATTTGTATGGTAGCTACATTCAAAAACCAGTTGCATAATTACTGTTAGAGACAAAAATCTTCCCACATTTTTCCTCAGTGCCTCACCGCTAAAGTAAGAACACTTCAACAGGACTGTGGCACAAACTCTGTCCACAATACCCCCAAATGGAAAGAAAAGAATTCATCTGGGTAGCTGATGATACGCCTTACAACTAAAACTGGAATAAAGGATAGACCAAATGCTTTTTCACTCATCATCTGTTGACCCTTTTCCTCTGCCGTCCCCGGTTCAATTTTGAATTAATTCTTGAACGATTTCATTTAAATGTCAAATATCCCCCTTATTCAGCTCATCTACAATACACTCTAAACTTCAAACTAATATTGCCATTTATGTAAAAAATCTACAATGTATAGACTAACAAAAAATATATATTTTTATATATATTTAATTTTGAAAAATGAAACATATCAGAGTAATGTATGAAGTGAATTTACACGTCACACTTCTCTCGGTAAGAAACGTGAGAACAGACTTACTCAGGAGGAAGGTGAGGGGCTGTAATTCAGTGGGAATGCTCGTTTAGGAAAAGAAAGCCTCCGTTACACAGAGGCTCGTCTGCGTCAAACAACTGCGCACTGATGAGATCCCTTCATCAAAAGGAACCCAGATTTTTTTGTCTTTTACAGAACATCAATTAAGGGGGGGAAAGTTGAGCTGTTAAGTCTGCTGGCATTGTAAGTAAACCATTTTAGGTGAGTCTCTCAAATGGCTTTGATGCAAGACTTTCAGGGACTGTAATGCTCAACAGGTCGACACTTAACTTTCAGCTGTTACAACTGTGCTTTGTCTCGTCTCTAAGTTTGCTTTAGTACATAAAGCAGTACAAAAACCTGAACCTATGACAAGGGATTACTTGAGTAACACTAGAATTTGTGGTCAACAAATAGGAAGAACGGTTTTGTCGTTGACAGACTCTACACTTGGATAATTCATAACCTTCAAGGAAGGAGTCTTCTATTCCAAGTCTCCAGATGCCTTTGGGACGAGAGCGGGCTGCAGTCAGAGCCTGCCTCTCGCTCAGAGTTCCCGTCTTTCATAAGCTGCTTTTGAACTGTCGAGACTTTGACCTTTCCATCGCCTCACGCCCAAACGTTTGCAGATAAGATCACGGAAAAGTCACTGAATTTAGACAATTCAACTTCAACTATGGGCTTGGTTACATAACATATGTAAGACTGTACCATCACGCTGGGAATGACATACATTAAAAAATAATTGCTCATACACATAAGCAATCCCTCACAATAAATGTTCCTCACATGTAAAGCAATTTGCTTAAATGTCAAATAGAAAACATGTAACAATTAGGCACAAATCCTCGATTCAATTTGTGTTTGTTTAGGTCTCCTTTCTTTCACAAGAGCACCTCTCGGCAGTGTGTGAAGTCCCAATTTGTGGCAGGACAAAAAGTACTCCGGTGTTCCATCATCTTGTGGAAACCAAGAAGAAGAATTTTTTTTTTTTACATGTATAAAACAAAGCAAAACTAAAAAAAAGTTCTTCACATTTGAGCTTGTAGTCATGGTTGGGAGTGCGACAAACAGGCTGTGTCAGTTTTGGCAGTATGCATGTGTGTACGAGTGTGTGAATGTGCATCTTGAAACTTGAACGGACAATACACAGACATGTCCACATATACACACACACACTGAGAATAATGGGTGGAAGAAATCTGTTAAGGCCACATCCTCTGACAGCCAAGGAAACACCACCGGATCTGAAAAAGGGAAAGACCACAGACATTATGTTGGAGTATACACAGATAATAACAGCATCAGGAAAATATTATTGACTCCTACAAACTGATCTAACTCTTATTTGAAGTTATAATCCTTAAGATTTTCCCAAAATCAAACCCAGTTTATGGTCCAGCAGTAGCCACTCAATGCATTTACATTTAGTAATCACAGTATGCTTTCATGTGGTACTTTTCATTGTTTGCGGCAGATTCCACCTTCCGCTGCTGGATTCAACTTGCCCTCACATGCATGAGGGACTCCAGGGAAATTACCGCTCTTGCAAACCAAACATGTTCTACTCCCGCTGCTTAACATCAAAAGCATTCAACTGGCGAAACACAGAGTGGTTTTTACTGTAAAGCAGCCACAGGAGAAACAATGTATTTGTCACCACAGTTAGTGCAGAGAGCAGTCATCTATCAAAATGCATCTACAGAACAAGAACAGTCTGTGACAGCGGATCAGTTTTAAATATTGCAGGTAGTAATGGAGCAAGAAGGAGCAGCCACAGTGAGCTGTGAGATGCAGGCAACAGGCCGCACAACTACAACTCCTTTACACTGTTCTGCTGTTGTGTTGATAACATGCGCCATGTGCATCATTAACGCCCCGTCAACAAGTACACAGATATTTTCCCCTCATGTTTAAAAAAATAAATCTGTCCACCCAACCTCTTCCTTTCTTTTTCCTTTCAGTCTTCCCTCATCGCAAATGTAGTTAAGTTTCAAAACAACTGAAAATCTCATCACTGTTGATTCCCCTTTCGATATAAAGATGAATGAGTTCACTCAAACATACGAGTAATGTTCCAGACTTGCAAAAGTTTTACTTCTCATTAACAACAACTTCACTCTCAAAACTGTCCCACCATCTGCTCATCAACCAGCCCTGATCCAAAACCGTAATTTGTGGCGTGCTTAAAACAGCAGACATTGAAGTTGACCAAATAATAGTTGGCGCAATAGACAAAAAAATTGAATTTAAGTTTTCTGAAAAATACAGTACAATGCCAATTTATTTATTAGTTTTTTTTACTTGTACAATCAACTTAATCACTTGAGTGACTGATTTGATCCTACTGACTTTTATATGTCCGTTCTTTTATCCACTTTGGTCTGTGTAAGTCTAACTTTACGTCTTGTTTTGCTTTGTGAGACCATATTATCATGTCATGTTGTGATCTGCGCTTTGTGTATTATTATTTGCCTGTAAGTAAAAAACTGATGATGTTTTAGTGACCTAAAATTATTTGTGTGAGGACAAGAGGCTAAAACATAGAGGAAAATATCAGTTATTAAATATATCTATATGAGTGTAGACAGAGCTTTAATAAGACTGCAACTGCTCATGGTATAAAAGATCAATTATTGACTTTCTTCTTTATAAAAATCAGTCAGTATGTTTGGCTGCTCTCGTTGCATTCCTGACATAATAGCTGGTCAAGGAGTGGGATGCTGACCCAATAATTATGGGACTTGAAGTAATGAACACTTGCTGTTGCCACCAGTAATTATTGGTGTTGCCAAATCAACAAGGCCTGAAATCTTAAGGATTATACCTTTAAAGCTACTGTGGGTAAAAATACCTATAACATCCTAATAATCACTTCAGTAGCCGATCTTAGAGGCATACCTGGTGTTACATGTGGCCAACTGGGTTGTGGCCATCTCCTCCCAGACTTGGATGGCCTCCTGAGAGCTGCATGGGTGCATCACCCACCACCCCAGACACTTTCTCCTCCTCACGGCGTTTTAAACATGCTGCCTTGGGGTTAAGGTTACGCTCTGACAGAGAAAGGGAAAACAGAAACAGGCGTTCTCAGTATCACAGAGTAATTGTGTATTTATCAGAGGTAAACATAACCGACACGCCGCCTGCAGACTGACCTCTGACTTGCTGTTCTAAATTGAGGATGACATTGACAGCTTGGTGCAGGATGAGAAGTTTGGTCTGAGGTTTGTCATGGCTGAGGTGCAGCTGGCACATCCTCCCAAGCTCCTTAAATGCCTCGTTGATGTCCCGTACTCTGAGGCGCTCGCGGGCATTGTTAGCCACTCGCCGCTCCTTCTCGCGCTCCATCTTCACCTCAGGGGGAAGGTCCTCGTCATCTTCCTCCGGACTGGGTACAAATAGAGATGAAATGATGAAGCTGCAGGCAGACAAACTTTTCAAGACATACCATCAAACACCTGTGACACATGTGACTTTATGTCTAGCATTGTGCAACTTTAAGCTAACATCAATAGCAGGGAATATAAACCCTGTCGAGCTTTGTGCTGACAGGATGCACTAAAAATAAGATGTGTGAGAAGTTAAATGCACTTTATATAAAACTGAAAACAGGTAAGTAACATCCAAGTAGCACAGTCTCCCACTTTGGATGATCATTTAATCAAAATATTTCACACAAAAACATTTTGACGACAAATGATGCACTTTAAGAAAGGAAGGCGTGTGAGATGTAGCTTCCTGCACCTTTTTAGTCATCAAAAAAATCTTTGTTGTGTTGTACAGTTTTGATAGGGGAAAATGTTTTCCTATTGTTCTACCTGATGCATTTCAAATTTAAATCTCAGAGCTCCTTTGCAGCATAACATCAGTGATGGATAATAAACTTCAAAATGTCTTAAAAATGTAACTGCAACGACTCTGCCAATCAAAAGTCAGATTTTAGACAAAAGTAACATGAACGTGTGCTTTGAGTGATGTCTGGCAAGAGCCCACAAAGCACAAGAAATTGACCCTCTATTGGAGAAACTTACTCATCTTTCTGGTCTGAAAGGCTAGAGAGCATCTGGAGGGTCAACGCCTCCTTTCTGAAAACGTGACATGAAGGGAAGGGGATTCAACATTGTTAAATACCTTACATACCCTGGGCAAAGGGTCTGAACCTTGCAGTAGATATTTCCTTTATATTTTCACACTTGACAATCTCCACCTTTGTGGGATAACACTCTGCTTTTTTCATGCGGTTTTATTCATATTTTGGTTTATCAAAAATCCAGGGTTCAAAGATTAGAAGACACAGTAAGGAGAGCTTTACCTTCGACTGCGTGCTGCCTTGCTCTCCTTCTTTTCGTCTTCGGATTTGTCTGCAACAGATGAGTTTTCATCATCCTCTTTGTCTTCTCTTTTAATGTCTGAGCTGCTGGTGGAGTGTGTGGAGCGGGCCAAACCACCAGGGAGACCTGGGGACAAACACATAGATGTTAGGATGCTCCAAAGTACTGAAGCCTCTCTAGGGGATGTCATACAACACATGGACGTAGAAAGCTTAGAAAATTAAGCAGAGATCACTCAAGAATCCTCAAATGCATATCACTGTGTATGAACAGTAGCATTGCCTCAACTCTTAACAAGTACTGACATGCTCTACTGCAAGTAACAAGATATCTAGTCCAACTCACTGGTGAAGCCTTCTGGTTGGCCGACTGGTGGTGTGGGTCCGGATGCGTGATGACCGTGCAGAAGAGTGCTGCTGGGAGGAAGGCCTGTGGGCTCCTCGTGTTTCCCTCCCTGCTGATGAAGGGGGAGAACCATGTTGTGAGCCTCACAGGGACAGACATATCACAACTACATCCAATTTTAAGACAGAGAAGCTACAGAGAAAAAATAACTGGACATGTCCACTGCTGTGTGAAAGCAAATATTTAATTTAAGGACCAGTGTGTGGGATTTAGGGAGAGACATAGGCAGAAATGTAATATAATAAGTAGGTTTTCTTTAGTGTGTCATCACCTGAAAATAAGAATCATCGTGTTATCACAATGAACTGCTTCATATTTTACATAGGGAGCAAGTCCTCATGCCCTGCCATGTTTTTACAGGGCCCCAGAACGAATAGACAAAACACTGGCTCTAGATGGGGCCATCTGAGTTTTCGTGTTGGCCACCGACATAGTTCGCAGCCCCTTAAACACTACAAAACATTGTTGTTTTTTTTTGCATGAAACTGCTTTCTTCAGTGTTTTAACTGGTTTAAATCACCATGTCTGTTTGTTCTGAAGAGGAGGAGACCTCTGCTTCCTGCTTAAAACCTCCTGGACGTTTGGATCTCAAGTTATCAGAAATAAAGGTGAGCCCATATTCGCAAGACCAGCCAAACAGAGTTGGAGAAACACTGATTTGTAATGTGAAGCTGCTTTATTCAGTGTTTCTAGCAGTTTAAATCACCTGGTCTGTTTGTTTGGGAGGGACAGAGACGTCTGTGGATAATTCAGCTACCAGTAAAGTTCTCCTCAACGAAAAACACTGGAGGAATTCTAACAGGGAGAAGTTTAAGCTGGCAATCTCAGCAATCTGAGATCCTCCCTGCTAGATGCCACTAAATCTTTCACACAGCTTCTTTAATAATGTAGCTAATTAAAAATGTTTTACTTGTTTGCCAACGTCTTCTGTGTAACCAATGCCATTTAACTCACTAAACAAGATACATAAAAATACTATTTACTCCTAATCGCTTGTAATTTTACTTTCAGCCAGCAGATGGCACAAATGATACACTGGACATTTAGTGTTCTCGAGGAAATCAACTCCCTAGTAACGCATTTTTTCCCCTAAATTGTCTTACTTATGAGAACAGAAAACTTATTTCTTCCAAAAGGCATTTCACAACAAAAAATCAAGTTACCCTATCAATCAATCTCTAATGTAGTGGTTCCTGGGAGCCATGTTACACACAACATATAGTATTTTCTTACTCTAACCTCGATACCAACAGTTTCTCCAGAAATGGCGGATGGGCTGAACATGTAACACATTTAATTCTCCATTATGTCACAATGAAAACAAACTCCTTGCAGAGAGATTTCGGGATAGTTGAAAGAAATTATGTACACACACAAATAAATGAACACCTGTTTGTTTCATGTCATCACCAACAAGTCTCTTTCGAAAACATACAAATGACACACTTCGAGCAGAGCAGGTGACTCACCATAGCAGGATGTCTGTTGCTGAGGGCGAGGCTTGCATTGGGGAAAGCCGGAGAAAGGCCCCCGAGGCCCCCGTTGTGTACTGCGGACAGCAGGCTGTGCATGTCGGGGGCGCCCTCTAAGCCAGGACCCTGGCCCACAGCATGGCTACGCAGTACATGAATTGCCTCCTCCAAACGGTCTTCCATTTTACTCTGCTATATAAAGACAGACAGCGTACACTTAGATATTAATAAGACAAAACAGAATATGAGTCCAAGACACAGCTTATAGTTACTTGAAAACTGTTTTTGAGAAGTAATTTTCTGATCTATGTCACTAACATAAGCATACAAAGACTAAGAAGATATTGTGGCAGCTTCATGCTTCAAATTAACTTTGATGCAGCAGAGAAATGTTTGAACATACCAGTGCATGTGGTGGCCCTTCATAGTTGGGTGTGGTTGGTCTTTGCCACTGAGACTGAGCTCCTGCAGAGAGAAATATTGGGACTGTGTTTAGTGGTAATTCTGAACTTTACAGCAGATGGAGCTGCAGACACATTTCTGCGCCGAGGAACACTAAACGTGCAGAGGACCATTTTTGTTCCAACAATTTCAACTGATTCATTTTTGTGTGCCAAAAACAAGGTTGCAATCAAACTGAACAAGTTAAATAAATTGGACTGATGTAGGTATTCTGTGGCTAAAATTGAAATATTATCCAAATTTGCAGTTGCATGAGTGAGAATAAAGCACAGGATAAAACCACCTGAACTCAGTTTACCAACCTTCTGATTGGCAAAATTTACTCAGCTGTTAGGCTGACAGGGATCTTACGCCAAAGTAAGATAGCACCTAAATGATTTGAGTAAAATAAAGACAACTTCTTTTACAAACTAAATAATGTTTGTGAAAATGCAGATTTCTTTATTCTGGTGTTTAACATGACACATTACAGAGTGTTCGGAGATTAAATGCGCCTCAACGTAACACAGTTAAATTGACTTTTCATGTATAAGTATTAACAGTTTGATGCTCATATGATCTAATAGGTGAGAATCCAACTGTACCTGCGATAGCCTGAGGAGATCCAGGAGTAGATGGAGCTGAGGAGAAGTTATTACTGTTGTGGTCCGACGGGTAAATCTGAAAGAAGTGATCAGAAAGCCAACATTATTACTGCACACTTAACGATGCATAACATTGATTTTCACGAGTTTTGTCAAACTGTGAAGTAGTGTGTGTCTGCGTAATAGATTTCTGTATCTCAAGCTGGTTAAATGCAGTGGTGGAATGTGTCTAAGTACTTTTACTTAAGTAGAAATGTGTAGTACTTTCATTTTATTTGGTTATTTTAATCTCATGCCACTTACTATTTCACTATTTATACTCCACTACACTTCAGAGAGAAATGTACTTTTTACTCCACTACAATTATTTAATAACTTTAGTGGCCAGTTAGTTTAACAATTAGGATTTTTGCACACAAACCATATGACAATGTACAAGTGCAGCTGACACAATGAGTCAATTGGTTTGAAAAATAATTGGCAACTATTCTGATAATCATATGAAGTCATTTTTCATGCAAAAACAGTTCCTGGTTCCAGCTTCTCACTTGAGGACTCCTTTTAATTATGTTCATTATTTAGATTTATCAAATTTAGTGACATGTTTCCGTATTACGTGCTTTTACTTTTAATACTTAAATACATTTTCCTGATTATACTTACATACTTTTACTTGAGTAACAGTTTTAATGCAGGACTTTTACTTGTACCAGAGTATTTTTTACAGCGTGGTATTAGGATCTGAATACTTACTCCACCACTGGTCAAAACCATGTCATAAAAACATTTTACTAGGGAATTAAAAGAGTTACAGCAAATTAAATAAGTCATAATATAACAAGTATGTATTAACCAATGATTATTCAAATAAAACAAATATTACATTGTTGGTTAAACAATTTTTTTCTGTCAGTCTGAATATGTTTCAGGGCCCTGGGTTTGTTTGTGGCAGATGTGCCAAAAAGAAATGAACCAGAGAATTGTTTGTACACTTTAAATCTAATTATGTATCCAAAAATATACAAAGCACAATGCTTGACATTTCAGAAAACAACTATTATTTAGGTCCCTAAATTTGATGATATCTTCTGCATATTTCATAATGCACAGTCATCTGTTTTTAAACAACAACCAAAATAATGCTAAAACCACTGACGGAAGATTTTAGTCAGCTTTGCCCATTCTTAGTCAATTTGTGTAAAGAAAGAACAAATAAGTGCAAATTTGACGAACATCACAGATTTCACTTCAGAGGAAATAAAACAAAATGACTGTAATTGTTTCATTGCCCGGCACTAATTTAGAAAACCAACAACAAACAGAAAAGAACTCACTGAGGCAAGAGCCTTCCCAATTTCATCTCCTGAACTGCCAGCTGTGGTGCCTCGGTTGGCTGCGGAGACAAAATAAATAATGTGAGTCAGATGACCTGTTAATTTGTTTTTGAGAAAAGAAAAAAGTATATCAAATGACCATGGGACAGACGCTACCAAGATGCCTGCGTGATAAGTTCACTTTTCATAAGTCCCTTACCCATAATGCCTTCCCCATTGATAGTGGGTGTGTGGTTGTAGGTGGTGGGGGCTGAGTGGAAGCCGTTGACTTCGCTGCCGTGCAGAGGATAGTTCTGTGGGGACAGAGGCAGGGGTTGACGCTTCTGGAAAGGGGATACAAGTAGCTTCATAAGGCACAAACCACTCAGAGAAATGAACACATGTGACAAATACTTCATAAATAAAGTTTAAATATTTAACTTAATGTTAAGTGTTAACAAAGGGTTCCTACACATTTTCCAATTTAAAATTCCACATATTTCAAGACTCATATCTCCAGACTTCTTGGTAGATTTTACAGTAGACCACATGTGACATCTGTGTACAAATAGCTGGATGTTTATTAAGTAAATAAATGGTTTTAAAATTCAACTGTCACATGAATATTACACACTGAGTCTGACTATGCTGTTATGTTGCCAAACAATTGCCACAGAACTGTAGCTTAACATATCGAATAAAAAATATTATATTATTGCTCCCCATATATTATTTTGTCTCTTTTATATACAGAGGAACCGAAAATGAGTTGAAAAAGTTAAACAATCAAGTTTTCATAGCCTCTGCTTAGCCTTGTTATTTACTGTGGCCATGGAAACAACGATGAACGCAGCCTTAAAGGTGTCTTTACGTTTTCTTTCTGGTGAATAGCATAACTCATACATGTTAAGACAAGACTAATATCTGCTTATTTGTGATGCTACGTGTATATAAAATTCAAAGGTATTGCTGCATTTTCTTTTATGATGGATTTGGTTTGGTTATAAAGGTACTTGGGACAGATCCGCTCTGCAGGCTGTGATGTACAAGCGTAAAGGCAGCTCTACGCAGGAGTGTGCTTTGAGTTGCAAGAGATATTTTGCCTTGATTGTTAAAAAAAAAAAAAATCAAGCCCAGCTTTGTCTGCACTCTCTCACACAGTGGTTAACATTTTGGCTTTGCTGGCTGCCTGCTCCAAACGCCATTAAAAACACTGTGTACACACTTGTACGATCATTTTACTTTTGGAAATTCTGAATTTTCTAAAAAGTCTGGAAACACAAATATTTTTTGATACTCTCTTTTCTTTTTTCCACTTATCTGAACTTGGAAATGATCAAAATCAAATTCCAAACTTTCCCACACTGTGTAGGAACCCTGTTAACAGATACTTCAATTGATGTGTCTCATTCATGTGGTTTTATTAAAGAAAAAGAACAGATGCTACAATCTTTCCTCTCAGAGAAAAGTCATCAAATTCGTAACATTAGCGCCTTACAAAAGCAAAGCAAAGTCATTTCTACGTACCATCCTGTCCTGTGGGTTAATTGCGGAGAAGGAGCCTGGCTGTCCAATGTGTGGAGTGTTACCCAGCATGGCAGAGTAGCCAGAAGACGACCAGGGGTCTTCTGAGGAAAGCGGAGACACATTTTCAAATATGAAAACACCTCCACAAATTGTATCGCAGAGCAAATTGATTCCAGTGATATTAAGAGCAATGTTACCTTGCATATAGAAAGAGCCAGGGTAGACAGCTCCGGGCTTTGTACCAGGATATCCTCCATTGTCTCTGGCATACTCATCACCAGATGTGGAAGCATACACCTAAACAAACATGCAGACAGTGAGCGGTTAGATTGAGATTTCTGAAATAACGACTCTACAATGTTCTCCTGAGTAGCCCTGAGCACCATGAGAGATGGAGTAACAAGGTATCGATCCACCCTGTCCATGCTTTTGAAAACCATTTAATCACACTGGCTTCAAGTGGCCACAAGATGGCAAGAGGGAGTCTGCCGGTGGTGGAGGCAGGCCGGCTCCTCGCCTGTGGAGGAGAACACAGCGGCCATGCCATGCTGGGCACAGCGACGGCTTGAATCCCAGTGCACAGTGAGCACTTCCTCTAGCTCCCAGGACCCCAGTGACATCGCACTGCCTAGCCTGCAGCCCCTCCCTGTAACACACTCAGTATCAGCTCGCACACATACCATGCATTCAGTGAGCCAACACACACATACACACACTCTCCAATAGCAATACCCTCAACTAGCACTATCACGTTCTATATGGCATCAAAAGAGGATTGAATTTCCAGAAAACACGACAATGGACAGCTCTGACGCTTCACATTAGCACCATTAGGAATCTCACTTCCTTTCTACACATTGCAAAACAAAAACGGATGCCGGGCCTTAAGTGACACACATCTCTGCGCTCCAAAGCCACAGACTGGAGACGGACATGAGAAGCCCTCAACACCATCAGCCGCCACTCAGGCCATCTTTTTCCTCTCCTCCTCTGTAGTACATGGCAGATAGAGGAAGAGAGAAAGAGAATGGAGGCTATGCTGCAAAGAATGCTAATCCAGAGAAGGGATTTTTTCTGTAATTTGATTTAACAGGGAGAAGTGGAAAGGGAATGGAGAGATGCACTTCTAATTACAGAGCCATCTGCCTGTTCCTGGACCACATCCAACTCCACAGGCAGCTGGGCTGAGGAGAGGGAGCGAAGAGAGGGAGAGAGATGGGGGCTGGGATCCAGTCAGCGAGAGGGAGAGGGAGAGAGAAAGAGAGGGAGAGAGATTGCAGTGGGTAGGGGGTGGTAAAGGGGCAAGGGGGAGGATTGAGGGGAAAAAATGAAGGCCCTGATGATTTATGAAATGGGTAGAGAGATAAGGGGTGTTGAGGGGGGACAGGAGAAGGTAATCTAAATGACTTAAACAAAGCTTGATATGGCCAGGGGAGTGTGAAGGAAACAGGGGATTTAAAATGATCACGGTTAATTCAGGGGAAAACATGACGGAGATGGCTTCATTTAACAATAGGCTTTGAGTTGTTCTTTCACGGGGAACAATGTCGAGTGAATCCTGCTGCTCTAGATGGGAACAGAGAACTACACAATGACTGGTGCTGCTGGATAATTGTATTCTCAGGAAGAAAGGGGATTTCTAGGGTAAAATCCTTAACTAATAGGGGTTTAATGTAATTCAGGTTATGACCGTGTAAAGGTCTCTACGCTAGAAAAACATGGGTTTTGGCAAGGGGTGGGGAGTAGATGAAGATTAACATCAAACTAACCTCTAACCGCTTTAGTCAAACACTGAGGGTTTTGTGATTAGTCTACTGGACAACTAGGGGGCAGAAGAGAAGTTCCTCCATGTTGGTTGATTGTTGCAGATGAGAGGGGGGTGAAGGTTTATGAGGTTAGGGCGAGGATCTTGTGTACAGGTAAAGCTGGAGAGCTTAAAGGGAACTGAGACATAGCCTTCACAGTGCAGCTATTATGTACACATTTGCTGATTCACAGTAATATTTAAGTAAGAGAAGTACATAAAAAAGAAGAGTATGTTGATGGTGAAGAGGAGCAGGAAGGGAGGGAGTGTGGGAGGGACGAAAGACCACAGGATCATCATCGGCAGTCATTAATCTGGGCTCAGACACGGGGCTAAGAGGCCTCGCAAGCACCGCGCCTCACAACTGGGTCACTCACAGGGGGAGGCCCACCCAGGCCATCATGTGGTGAAGCGTAGGCGGAGGGCTGGGGGAGGTGGGGGGAGGGGGGTTCACACACACAGACATCTCATCATTCGCACTAAAAACCACGCGGCCATCGTTCACACTGCAGGGAATGACTGAGGTTCAAACAGTGAAAAAGAGGGGGCCTTGGCCAGACAGAGTTTTCACACTCAATCTCTGTGATGTAGCCACCACATAGGAGTGTGTCTACACGCAAAGGTTTCATCAGCCACTTCAACGTGACAACACCCACAGGTGGAGGGGGACGGCACTGATGATGTCATGTGAAAAAACAAAACAGGGTTCTTTTTCAGCTTCTTCTAAACAGGTCCAATTCTGATATGTCTCCATACTGACTATTACACCCCTTTTCCACCCAAATTATTGTATGCCGGTTTTTAAACGTGGGAAAACCCATCCAAAATAAGCAATGGACTCCTTTCCCAATGCCAGTAAACCAGAGCTGTGTACATGGCTCTGCGGTGGACGAGTATGCCTTTCTGTTTGATATGTTTTTCTTTACTTGTCTGTCACATTCGACGTCACAGACCAGGTTAGTAAACAACAGAAATCAGCATGGAGGCCTGTGAAAATGTTCCTGTGGTTACTTCTTTTTTATATCTCTCTCTTTTTTTTTAAGATATTTTTTGGATCATTTGCCTTTAATGGTCAGGACAGGAAAGTTTAAGAGGGGGAGAGAGAGAGGGGGGGGAGACATGCAGCAAAGGGCCACAGGCTGGACTCGAACCCGGGCCACTGCGGCAACAGCCTTGGACATGGGGCACCTGCTCTACCCACCAAGACACCGACGCCCCATCTTTTTTATATCTCTTAGGCTACTTACTAAGTCTCTCGCTCAGACTTGATGCTGGCTAAATTTTGAACAATGTTCGAGCACTGCTTGAACAGAGATGGATGGTATTTTGAGGCAGTCATCATTGCATCACACTGGCAAAGGGGCTAAAATTAGTGCATCCACTGGGGTGTCATTTTCCATCACTGCTGATCGGAGCCAATCGGAGCTAGAGCTGATAAATACTTGTGACTACTGCTGTCATTTGTCCCAGGAGTGAATGCCAATTGTTAACTTTCCCCATTAAACACAGAAAGTGAAAAACGGGGCTTTAATCGCTGTGATATGTTCCCACCTAATCAATGCAGCCACTGCATCTGTTGCAACTATGTCCCAAACTGAGATGGAGTCTGAACGCAGCACTGTTAATGCTTGACTTGATTCCCTGCAAGACTACGCATCCCTGGCTCGGTGATTTGGACCTAGTCAGCCATATAAACCTTTTAAATTTACTTCATCCATGCGATGAAAAAACATCAGCATAGGCATGAGTAAATTTTCATTTAACTGTTGTTATCGAAATTTGTGCAAGATAGTGACACTGTAAGGCCAAAACAGGACTAATGTGTGTGGGTTTAACATTTTCCAATTGGCAACCCCCTCATATTACATCCCAGATTTACATTACATTACAATATTTGATTATTAGTATGAGGCAAGGAGTGTCAGAAGGGTAAGGGACAGGGGAACAGAAAAGGTTTAGGAAGATAAGGGAGACTGTAAGAATGGGGAACCTTTCAAGACTCCCTTCTCTGAGTTACGCTCCTATACTTGGACTTGGTTTCATTTTATGTCCACTTTTATTTAGTTTATACGTTTTGGGCTTTTTATATTATTATTTCCTTTATTATTCACTTTGTAAGTGACTTCTTTTAACTACTCTAATCACAGAATAAAATCCTATCTTCTACATCATCTCAAAACTCTTACGCAAGTTCAAATGATTCATGACAGAATGGTATGTTGAATGTAAATTCCTCTTTGGCTTTGAAACATGAAACATTTTGTAACCAAGTATTTACAAAACTAGTAAATAAAACTGGTCTTAATCTTCCTCTAGTCTGCCTGTGTTGCTGGTGTGTACTGCTCTGTACGTCACCGTGCTGAAACACACATAACCAGTTTATCTTTTAGGTCACTGTGGTCACCTGAGAACTACAGTAGCGTGTGGGCCGGGGGTCAGAAAATGTTTACGCAATGGCCGTATTTCATATTGATGATCCAGTGGCAGCTCAAGCAGCAAGACAGGGCTCTAATAGCAACAGTAACATCAGCAGCCGCTGGGTCGGGTTCTACTGACTTGAAAAATCTAGTTTTCCATTTCACAAAAGCAAACATCTGTTGGTTCAGGACTTTCAAGAACTTCAATGTATCAGCAGAGGAAAGTATTAAGACAAGTTAATGTTGAAAATGCTTTGTGGTATTCTAATTGGGCAAATGGCCTCTGAGTCATCTACGGTCTACAGCAGCTGAGATTGTACGGACGGGCTGGCTGGTGAGCAGCAGCACACAGGACTCCGTGGAAATAATCTATAAATGGGAATGATGTGGGCAACTGCTGCCTGATTCAATTCTTTGTCAAGTCACTCTAAACTAACAGTGAGATTCATTCAGGATATATTCGAACATGTCACAGTGACTTGTGTTTCCAGCTATGTGTGGTTGCAATCATCCGCACACACACACACACATCAGCTGCTGGGAATTCTGGGCCCACTGACAAAATGTGACACTTGGTACAGTAAATCAAAGCACTATATGATACTTCGTACATCTTGGACTGAGCGCCGGGGTTCAACAGCACTCTGGTGAATCCAGTATCAAATCCACGTCACCAACTGAAATCTGACTGAATCTATTTGGGTTAAGCTTTCCTATTCTAAAAGGAATAGAAGTTATTAGTGAGCTAATATTTAGGAACTACAACTCCAAGAGTTATATTCAAAGAAGTGAAACTTTGGCAAGACAGATTACACATTTGCTATATGGCCAAACAAATCAAGAATGGTTTGTCCTTAAAGGTGTACATGCAGAACTTTCCTAAAAACAACCTATAGATTCACACAAATGTACTCTCTCTCAATCATCACTCATGACCCAGTAGAAGAGACTCTGCCCTCTGCCTGTATTTTCCTATTTTCTTCTTATTCTGCTGTGTTTGGGTCGTTCCTGGGCACAGCGCACAGGTGAGGTAAGGACTTAATAAAAAGTAGCCACCAGGTGCCAGACCATAAGCAGCCCACATCCAAGAGGAAGCAGTGAAAATCCTGGACACAGCTCCGAAAAATGCAAAAGTAGTAAAGAAGAGTGAATCTGGGGTTTTCATTTAGTTTTGCTAGCAATTCGGTTTACAAAGAGGAGCTGACAACTCCTATAATTTACCTTTAACAAATCCAAGTGTCTTATAGAGCTGTCAAAATTGGCTATAACCATCAGGAGTAGGGCTATAACGAGTAGTCGACTAATCGGTTTGAGTCATTTTTCATAGAGAAGTACTATAAAAGTACCCCAAAATACTCCTATTGCAGCTTCTTACGGTCAAATATTGGCAGCTTTACACACTCTCCCATGACGTCAAACTAAAACCCTTTGGCGTGAGTACAAAACAAGACATTAGATGACATCATTTTGGGGTTTGGGAGAGACAGGCCAACATTATTCAACATTTTAACACATTTTTCGATAAAATGATTAGTCAACTAATCGAAGAAATAATCGAGATTAGTCGACAATGAAAATAATCGTGAGTTGCAGCCCTAATCAGGATTATCACTACCTCTAAGATAAAAAAGGGTTCAAACCACCATCTATTTTTAAGCCTTAGAAATACACAATTAAAGAATATCCTATATCATAAAATTTCATTTAAGTCCGCTGACCTATCTCTCAATCTTGCCCCTTTTACACATGGACTGCAAACCTGAAATTATCTGGACACTCCCCATAGGAGCGTTGCATAAGAACGTAAATGTCCAAATCAGTTGGATCGGACATTAAATAGACTTTATCCTGCCAGCTCCCTAATGCAAAGTCGGCGTTAAGTCAGGTTGATCTCATGTGAAAAGAGCGGGTGATCGTCTGCACAATTCACAGTGACCAAGTGGGCACACTGATGACGATTCAATCACGCAGCTCACACAAAACCAGAGTAAAACATCCATCCCAGGGTAAAGAAGAAGGGTCATTCATACAAAGACTGCTATGAAAATGTCTAACTGCAGAGATGACAAGATTAAGGAACTTCTGTCAGTTAGGGTCAAAGCCTAAATCATCAGACAAGTTCAAGAAACGACAAGGGTCTCAAAATACGAACTAGCTACATGACCACGGTGTAATCCTCATCATGACCTCCCTCTTGCACACTCTCCCTACGCATCACCCTCACCTAAACCAAACAAAGTCCAATAGGTAAGGACACTTCTGACACATACAATCTCTTGTTGTGTGCTAAAGAGAAAGCGAAAGAGAAACTCCTGATAACATCCGGACCTGACTCTCCGCTCACTGTCCGGAGGTCTTATGAGAAAAAAGCTCCTCTCTCTGCTCTGTGGTTAATGCTAGAGTGAGAACTGAGAACGCTCTGTCTCTCAAATCGAGACCAAATAAATGAATCCTAATTTATATGTTATTTGATAGTTTAATTTCAATACAGGTTGGGTAATGTTCATACTGGTTTAAATAAATAATTTGCATTCAGTGCAGCGGCCCAGACACCCACAAGGACTCATGAGGCAGACAGACAAGGCTGTGCTGTTGTTTTTGTTTTCACAATCAAATATTAAATTTTACAACAGAATGTCTGTTTTTTTATTTGATTATATAATCCAATTTAGATTACTTGTTGCAGCTCTTGTGTTTTATTGCAAACTGACTACAACATTGAAGCAGCCACCACAAACCAACCTACTACAACCCTTTATCACAATGATGTACCTTCATTACCCAAATCCAGGACCTCTGCGTTCTTACAAAACGTATAATTCAAATCGGGCCACTGAAGAAGGTGAGTTAACAGACTTTGACAAGGTACCTCAAAATCCTATAAAATTGCTCGTCTACATGACAACCAGACCCTGAACACCACTTGAAACCACTTGAGTGTAGTGTAGAGACAACCACAGTGATGATGTTTATTGGGGCCTGAGTTGCCTGACTGTCAGCTCACTGAGAGTCTGACTGAGCAGAGGGTCTTTACCCCTGTCTGTCACAGAACTGCTCAAGCAGAGTGGAGAGAGCAGTGTGTTCGTGCGTCCGCCTGTGTGTCTATGTGTGGCAAGTGTGTGTAGTGAGAGAGTGTGTGAGAGAGAAAGAGAGAGAAAGGACTGTGAGCTGTGAAGGCGAGCAGAAATAAGCTCTCACCGAGGACGGCAGGCCAGGGGGTTTCCGAATCTTCTTTGGCTGAGTTTCTACATACAGGCAGACAGAGACACAGAGAAAAGGTGAACGAGAGACAAAAACACAAATAAGGGCTTAGCAAAGACACATTTGTCAATGACATGTCAGTTCAGGTGCAGATTCTTTGTGTGCTTTAAAATTGCAGAACAGAAAACACTGAACATACTGAGGCATGTGTGCTTGTGTTTATGTGCATGTCTGTCAGTGTGAATGAATGCTGCTGTGCACTCATCTGTACAAAGCTCTGTTTTGAAAAGATTTGTCCAATGTAGGTAAAAATAACTACAAAGGATATAACAAACACAAGTGCACAAAAATGTTTACACAAAAATTTGGTCTAGTTAGCTCCATTTCATATCATTGCTCCTATAAGTTCATACACAACAGAGGTGAGATTTACTTGTAGGGCTGAAACACTTTGTCGCTAGATCAGTTAGTCGATTGTTAAATAATTAATTTGTTACTGATTAGTCATTAAAGCTAATTCTTAAGCAAAAATCGCAAAATATTTACACTTTTCAGCCTCTTCTATGTTTCATGTTTTATATTTTCTGGTTTTCTTAGCCATCAACATTAATATCATTCAATTTTGGGCCGCTGGTCAGACAAAAGAAGCAATTTAAACGCTGAGTCTTCAAAAGGGGGTCTGCAGAGTTACTGACAGGGGGGACAAAAAATTATTGTTTGGTAGTTTAATTTTGGCTTTAATTCAAGTTTTTGTTTTGCTTATATTAAAATAAGTCTGAAATAAACATCATCATGAATCCATCATGTTATCAGCAAAGATAAATTGGCCTATTCCTAAAAAATGTTTTGCTTACATGCTGTTAACGTCCTTATCTGTTGCCAGGCAGCCAACTCTGCATGATAATATATGCAATATCTATTTTATTAAGAGCATAGCTATTACTCTGTCGCATTGCTTGTGTGTTAGTGTACATGACCATATCTATGTTTACTTTCCTATTGCTGCTCTGCATGTCTGAATGTAATGCTAATCTGCGTGTTGCTTGCACGTCTGTTTGTGCTAACATGGTGTTTGTTGTGGTTGCATTATTGTTTTGTACTGATGCTCTGCTGTTGCTTGTTGCTTCACATGGCTTCTGTTCTACCTTGACACTTTCTGCTTGCTGTAGTTAATGCTGTCTTTATGTCTATATGCTGTCTTTGTCTTGTGAATTTTATCCTTTTATTGCTTTCATCTTGCCAAAATGACTGCAGTTGAGTATTAGCCAGCTGGCAAACACTGGCACATTTACAGAAATGTTGATTAATGTGCATTGTCCTTATAAATTAAATGATAATAGAATAAAGACAACTTTTACAATAGGCTCACCATTACCTGTAAATCTTTGTGCAATCATGTTAGCTAGCTAATGCTAAATCACTGTGCAACACCTGTCTGTAACAGCAAGGCAAACTAGTCAGCTAACAGTTACGTAAGATTGAAACATGTTGGCCAATTAGCTGCATTATTATTTTGAGTGTACGGACATTCATGTGAACCACAATGGATCTTTTTGTAGCTTTTAATGCAAGACTTCGAAATGCTGTCCACCTCAGAAACAAACATGATGTATTAATATATGAATCTGCCAATAGTTATCGTATGCAGCAGATAAAGGTATGTTTATACATGGCAATTTAGGCTGCCCTACACATTACTGTAGGCCCAGTTCAATATGCAACTCAGTTTTATATAGTAAATGTAGTAGGGAGTCCCTGCTCCGTCTCTTTGAGGTAAGTGGTTCTGAATCACGCTGAAGACCCCTGATTTAAACAATGTGAAGGCATCACCTTGGACTGTGGGAAACTGTGATGGAATATTTTACTATTTTCTGACATATTATAGACCAATAATCTAGAAAATGATCAGCAGATGACTCAAAAATGAGCTATTAGGTGCAGCCCCAGTTAACTAATCAAAAAAGAAAGAAAAGAAACCCTTCAGGGGGAATGATGTAAAATAAAAACAAAGACAGAAACAAGAAGAAATGTGTCCTGTCTAGTTATTTTACCTATGCCTCCATCAGGCGGCCTTCTCCTGGGGTTGTTGGTGTACGATGGGTAAAACTGGGAGCCTGATTTCAGGCCAGAGGGGGACATGGCATCTGGGCTGGGCATCGCTATGTCGCTAGGAAGAAAACCAGGCTAGGAGAAAAGAGCAAGACATGGAAACAAGGTTTTACTAATAATACTTTCAGGGGCGTGGGATAGCACAAACAGCTTCTCTTCTAGGAAATGAAGACGGTTAATTCAAAGTGTTTAGCATGAAAAGAGAAGTGAGAAAACAAGGCTTCCTTTCCATGACACATTACATGAATGTAGTTCTCACACACATACAACCTTACAGGAAGATGTAAGGAAGACGCCAACATACCTGGCTTCCAAAGGGAGGGTACGGTGGCCTCTCATTTTTACCTGCAAGATAAAAGTGAAGATTGTTTAAGCGTCAGTGCGAGTGAAACCACGAGCACATTAAGAGGCAATGGTGTGTGCTAAAACAAATGAAAAGTAGGCTTTTCTAAAGTACAAAAAGTCCAGGGATGCCCTCCCCTTTTTCAGTACGCTCAGCTGCATAAAGCCGCCTGCCAGACAAAACCCTAGGGAAGGTTTCTGCTTCAGTGCCCTAACATCCCCAACACTCAACGAATGAACACAGGCACACACACATGCACATACATGCATGTAGACACATACACATCCTGCCACCCAGAAAACAAAGTACGCACAACAGTCGAATCGGCCATTATCAACGTGATTATTTTAAAGCTGGAGTGTGACGAGGCAACACGTCCTCCGTCACTGAGAGGTAAATTTATGCGATCATTCTGCTAAAGTGCTAAAAAGGAATTCATCAAGGATTTTTTTTTTTTTTACCACACCAGAGTCACTTGTTAAAAGTAATTAAGAGAGCTAAAAAAAGAACATACCTGCAACCCCTGAACTGATGAATGGAGAGGACAAGCCTTCATGCTCGCTGTAGTGGGATCCTTCGCCATAGCCCTGTAGGAACAAAGGTACAAAAACAACATGAGCAACCTTTAAAAAAAAATGTAAATAATATGCATTCGCTAAAAGACCTAAATCGTCACCACCCTTGTTAACACACACCTATATGGCTTAGTGGTTACCCTCCCTCTGCTTTTCTGTCTAACTAACAGGATCCATGCCAAACAAATCTGCATCAGCTCGGGGGATTCAAACCGACTTTCTTAATTATCAACTTGTGGTAATCAAAGCCTGCTGCATCTATTTCACCCCCTGTTCCTTGTATTTACACAGAGTTGTGCCAAGACAGTTACAGCGGATGTGAAGCTGCAATTACCGGTGGGCTTCCACAGAGGTTCTGGGCTACCAGAGAGCTTGCCAATGCCGGATCCCGAGCCAAGGTTATTAGGTAGAAAGTACAACTACCACTTCAAATCAAACATGGCACACGGCATGAAGAAGCGCTAAGCTGTTGTGGTGGTGGCGGGGGGAGAGGGTGTGTGTGTGTTCAGCTATGGCAGAGTGATTAACTGAACGTGTGCGAGTGTGCAACAATATCATGGCATCTGGTGTTAATGCTTAGATCTCCAAACTTAAAATCGCATGCGACTTAAGAGTGCAAGTGTGTGTTTAGATCTTACCCGTCCTTGGCTGAAAGAGGGGCTGTTCTGTTCTGCTGAGCCCCAAGACCCAGAGCCGCTGCGCTCGTCTATTGCTGCAAGAGGACAGACATTTTGTTCAGACTGACAGGTAGGGACACCAGCAGGTTAGGGATGCAGGAATCAAAAAGCAGGTTGGACTAACGCTGTGGAGGATGTTAGCAATCCCCTAATGACAGTATATAATTATTATCCTAGGTGTCACAGCAGATATGTAGAAATGCCCTGATGTTGGAGTCATATCAAGGGAACCTGTCACCACATCCTACTCTAAACATTCAATGTCCTTAAGTGGCCACAATGGGCTTGCAAGCGCCAGGAGAGAGCATCACTATTGATCAAAGGCACCGCTGTCACATTCAAGATGCAATGCAATGTTAAACTATTTCTGGGGAAAAAAATGCTGCTCAGTGTACCCATCAGTGTTTATTATGGTCACTAAATAGCAGAAAATTAACCATTCACATGCCTAATGTCATCCAAGAGGATAACATGTCATATAAACCACATCTAAATTCCACTCAATCACACTGACACACACAAACACCTAAAATAACACAAAACAAAATGCCCAAACAGGGACCTCAATGTTTTAGGTAAAGAAAGAACCGGTGTGTGGCACAAAGGAAAAACACAGCCAAAAGACTGGTGGAGCAGAAAACTCCAAAATACCCCCATCATCCCCTTCTCCCTGTCTTATGCACTAATGCTATCCAGGCTCTCTGGAGACACAAGCCTTAATTGCATGCTGATTTGCATAATTGTGCATATTAATGCGGTTTCCTTATGAATATTCATATTTCGTCTTTGATTTTTGCCTAATTAAAAAAATGTGTGTGAGAAAGCAAAAGAGAGAGCGAGCGGGTGGAAGGAGAAAGCAAGGGGACGAGAGGGAGAGAGCGAGGGGAGGAACGAGAGGGAAGGCAGAGTGAGAGGGGTCTGGGCGAGATCAGCAGCCTGGCTGACGAGTGAGAATGAGTGATGAGACTAACAGAGCGGTGCAAGCACCTACACACGCTGCGACAGCCGTGATCTATGGAGCTGATGCCAGTGGCATGGAGAATCAGGCAAGCAGGGAGGAGAGGGGACCTCAAAAGATCAGCCTCGCTCACTGTCAGATCGGCCCCGCTGAAAGGCCACAGCACTAATAAAGCGCTGCACCACCGTCAACCATGTCCAATGGCACAGGACGCTGGTGACGGGCTCGCTGCTAAATAAAGATGACAGACTTTGTATGAAGACTTTTCAGCCAAAGCGTGGTGCCAGCAGAAGTAATACCAAATTAGTGAGATAAAAATCCACTTTAGAGGAGAGATATCAACAATGAGCTACTTTCAGTCTCGCATCCTTACTCAAACACCTATCTGCGTCCCAGCCTCTCCAGCTTCATCCACATTGCTGGGAAACCACAAAGTATGTTCACATGTACTACATACAGGTAACCCACAAAATTACACGCCGTCACTGTCGACAATAACCAGCACTGAGTGGCCCTTCCAAGCCAACAAAGAGAGTTAAGAGAGTAACTTCATAATCTTCACAGCTATTTTCAATACCCCACTCATTTGCCTATGAAGCCTCCATTTGGCCAGCGGGGGTGCAGAGGATAGAGCGAAAGCACGGCTGTGCAGCAGAAGTCTGACAACATTGTTTCACACTTACTGGAGTAATTAACTCTGAGGCAATTAAAACAAGGTGGAGAGCTGCTGAGGTGACACTGACGCTCAGCCAGCCTAGGAGAGCCCCACTATGCCAGGAGAGAGACCTTTCTATTGTTGTTAATCTCATGTCATGTGTAATATCGACGACCAAAATGATAAAATAATGCAAATAAAGCTCTCGTCAAGCTTCAAAAGAAAAAAACAACTGGGGTAAAACGCTACGCCGACCACTACATTTGAGTATTTATGTCCATGTGGCTCTTGTACAGGCAAGCACGCAGGTTTTAATTGTTTAAAACAAGCTATGTTTTGTACCACATTAACTAGGTCAGAGATGTACTCCTACATCAATTATTTTGGCTAATAAAATATTTTTAGTACTTTGTTTTAAACCAACCCTTCGCCTGTGACCTAAAAAAATGAGCACTTTAAGAGTCTGCGTTCTCAATGAAATTTAAAGGACAAACACAGATCTGCCCAATCTGGGCTTTATTTCATCCTTATTTCATCACTTACTTCACTCATGAGCTTTTTATTTCTGCGGTTGCCTCGTGGTGCTGCTATCCAACACACACTGGAGAAAAACAAAGCCCTCACCCTGCAGTTCTTTCAGCTACTGTAGATGCCTTCTAAATAGCTGCAATTGATTATGATGACATACAATAGTCAATGTGATGCTTATGTAGCAGTGCTAATACGGCGCCTTATGTGCTGTGACAGCCCACAGTTTTCTGTGTCTACACCATAGTGGTAGAAACAGAGAGGCTTTCTATGGTTTGACATGGATAATGATATAAATGATCGCATTCGTAAAGCAAAACAATGAAAGCTATCATTATCATACCGTGGGTTACAAATAATAGCAGATGCGTTAAAAGGTTTATTTTCTGTGCTGACATTTCCACATTTTTGTGGCCAATTGTGACAAAGAAAAATATACAAAATTGGCTATTAACACTAGAGATGCTGCAATACCATTTTTGTTCTTCCTGATACCGATTCAGACACCGGAACTTGCATGTCGGCCAATGTCGAGTACCGATCCAAGGCCACAGTGTAAAAAAATGTAACCACTCTATACTACTTACCCTGCAGGGATGTGAAATAATTGCCATCGTTGTCATATGGCATGGCTCAGGCTACACCCTTCGGAAAACATGTACAAATACATGAAGAGAATGAATGCCATAGAATTTACCCAACTGCTGAGGTTTCTCTAACAGCTAACGTTAAACCAAAGGAATACTTCGCACATCTGTAGGTGCGTAAAAGAGGGACGAGAAGAATAAAACTTGTAGAAAAAACTCTCGCAAACTAACTTGCAAAAATTATGATTTTAATGCTGCAACATTTCAGAAACATTGCAGCATTAATATAATTATTTTTGCAAGTTAGTTTGCAGGAGTCTTTTCTAAAGGCTAACGTTGCCACCCCTCAACTGGGATTAATCTTTCCTTACTGCTCTGCATCAGTTATTGCCGATGGCCACCTTTGGGAATGCAATTTACAGTTGGAAAAAAGGTAACAAATCCCAATATGTTATCGCAATACTCACAATATCACAAAATGTTTAAAATCATGAATAAGAAACATGAAGAACACCTAAAATGAGTTCAGGTTTTTTGTGCATTGCAATGTTGTAGAGCAGCTTTTTAATTGATTACAATCACGATTATATTGTGTTGTGATCAAAGTATCGTGATAATATCGTATCATGAGGCATCTGTGTAGACTCTGGTTTTACTACTACTACTTTTAAGGTTTATTAATGAATTACGTGGTTTTCAAACTAGTGTACAGACTCATGTACTCGCCAATACCCAAGCAAATTTTGGCAGTATCGCAGCCATTTCCAATGCTGGTACTGGTAATGGAACAACTCTAATACCACTAAATGTTAATGTTAATGAGCCTTCTAAGGATGACATCTGAAATTATTTGGAAACAGAATTCAGAGTACTTTGAGCACTGATGCTCAAGTTAACTGACAAGTCTGAAATCAAAATCTATACCATCTTCAAACAATGGTCAATTAACTGCATAAAACTCAAAAGAGAAGTAAGTGATGAGCACTTGAACAGTAAATTGAAATCATGATCACACTGGGAAAATGAATTTAGGACTCAAAATACCCAGACTTATCTTCTAATTAGACATGCACATAGGAAATTTAAAAGGCACAGGGCTGGCATGAAAACAACAGGTTCTCTGGACGTATATCACATCCTCACAGACTTTGGCATGGTGAGTGTGAATGTACTTCCAGTGAAAGTCACATGGCAAGACAAATACTGACTCACAACCAGAACCCAGAAAAATATTTATTTTCTGAGCCACAAAGCCTTCTCGCGGCTGCAGGCTCTGAAAACATCTAATTTAGTTGAAGAAGGAAGCCACTCTCCTTTGAGATTTCCTCTTTTTGAGGGCTTAAGATTTTCCAACTACAGCCCACCAATGCACAGTCAAATACTGCAGGCGTGCGCAGGTATACAACCCAGAGTGCACGAGTCAGACATACGGCAGGTAAGCTCACCACCAAGCGAGACCACATGTGTAAATTCACAATGTTGTTTGTTGTGATCTAAGGGAAGCGAGCCTGTCGCGTCCCGTGTATTTGTGTGTGTGAAGGGGGTTGGAGACGTTGCCAGCAGCTGCAGAGGTGACAGAGGGGACGCCTGCCTGAAGGCTTGTGGGCTTGGCCAGCTCCCACCACACACCGTCACACTCTGCCTCCCCTACTTCTCAAACATCCCACACTTCTTGCCAATCCTCTCCTCTTTCCTCTGCCCTCCACTCTACCCGACACACCCTTCCCCACACACACACACGAACTCTGGCTACTGAGGAAGGGAGAAGGACGCCTAATGCAATTAGCACCCCTCTGAGCACTTTTGTGTTGATGAATAGAGGTGGTCTGGTGGGCCACTAGGCTGCTCGCTGCCGTTCCCGCGCTGCTGGGTCCCTGAATATACAAGCCGCCTAAGTGACGTCATAGATAGACATTGTTCTTTAATGGTCATCATTTCTATAATAAATAGGCTTCCTGGCCCGTAGCCATATTGGTTTTTGGAATAATAAGCAATCTTTGGGAGTTTCAAAAGATGGTCCCGTTAACAGATGCATCCTTACATCTAAAAAAAAAATCATGTGCACACAATTTTAGGCTTCTAGTTTTCGTCCTCATACAGACAGAGTGTATTTTATATTAGAACAGGAACAATTAAAGGATTAGCTGCTGACTACTAAATTACTCACCAACTAATTTGATTATCGGTTAATCGGTTTGAGTACTTTTTCCAGGAGAAAATTCTCTGATTTCAGCTTCTAAACTAGGAATATTTTTTGGTGTCTTTACTCCTCTGTAACAGTGAATTGAATATCTTCAGGTTGTGGACAAAACAAGCCATTTGATAACATCATCTTGGGCTTTAGGAAATGCTGATCAACATTTTTCACAATTTTCAGCTGTTTTTTAAACCAAACAACTAAACAATTAATTGAGAAAATGATCAACAGACTCATTGGCAATGAAAATACATACTAATACACACTATGTAAGATATAACATGACACAGATCTACGAGAAACTCCTGGTCCTTAATTTGCAGTTCTTAACATTTTGACTCCCAAGTGCTACTAGAGGGTACCTGCAGATCTCCCCAAGTTAAATGGGACAGCTTCAAGTATTGCATTAAAATAGGTGTCAATGACCGAGGGCCACACTTTGGGACACGAGGAGGGGGGAAGGAATTAACTCCTCACTGCTTAGTAATTGCCTGCTGTAATAGAAACAAACAGAATCCTGCCTTGCACAGGCTGATCCCTCTATTCAACAAGCTCTCTCTTCCACTCTGGCCACTCGCTGCATGCTGGGACAGTTTAAGAGGCTGCGAGCGAGGGGTGAGGGACATTGTCTCGGACTCAAGCCATTTCCTGCAGATCAGTGGGGGTAAGGGCCCTGTGCCGTGTTGGGGGAGGAGTGTTTTACACTTCAGGGTGGGGGAGTCGTTTCAAGTCCATAAGCCCCCTTTTTTGCCTTTGTTCCTCGGTGGCCAAGTTCTCACTCTGGGGAGCGTGACTCGATTTCACACACCAGGTTGGAAGGGTGACAGAGGAACCAAAGTAACACAACTTACTAATAACATTCAGGAAGAGAGAAAAGCCCACTCAAAGGCTTCAGGTGCTTGAGGGGGCTGAGGGGGTTAACTCAGCTACTCTGCACTTTAAAATAGTGAAACAAAGACTTAAGAAATGAAAGATGACCTTTTAAACAGATGTGAAAATAAAACTTAAAAAGATATTAATAAATCTGCACAGCCTCAATCATTCACAAGGACTGAAGCCTAAATGGATCATTTTTCTATCAAGATAAGGATCAAGGGAAAACCACATAAACAAGCACAGGGCACTCTTGAACACTGATAAATCCAATTTCTTCTAAAAATGTACTCAGATAGATGCATAAACAAATAAATGCACAACAATTCCCCACTTTTAGAAAATTGTTCTAATAATATCTCTATTATCAACGAAGTCCTAGGATTAACCCAGACGTTGTTTGTGGACATTTGTGTGGCTGGTTGAGTTTTTCAAATGTTGTAAAGCTTAATAAAAGTCACATCTATTGTATCTGCTGAGGCGGTGATCTCAAAACTGGGGCAAATAAAACCAAAACTGTCTGCACGCTTGACACCAAACGAGTTATGTGTGAAAGTACTTTTTGTGATTTAGGTGAGTTGACCTTTTTCTTTTCATTTAATGTGACTGCTACAGATCAAAGATTTAACAGTCTTAGTATATTGTTGCTGTGCAAAAACGCACATGCAGCCATAAGACCGTCAGTTAGAATCACAAGTGTATTTACATCAACAAAACAAAGCAAAAATTGAAATTAACAGTCCAGTGATGCAGCGTTAACTGCTTTGAAAGCTTACCTGATCCACCAAACTGAGTGCTGGCGAGTGTCATTGTCCTGTTCTTCCCGTTTGCTACTGGAGGCGCGAACATCTACAAGACAAAAGAGGAAAGATACCGTAAACCAACAAAGCAAAGGACGACACACTTCACACATTTAATTTCCACTAATAAATGACATCACATACACATGTCGTTCAGTCCTTGAGTGTTTTTTTTTTCTTGCAGGTATTTCAGTTTAAGGTCAGACTAAGAGTGAGACATAAACTATTTAGAAACACAACTACACCAGACAAGAAGACTTCTAGCATAACAGTAAAACAACATGATAAAAACTATCACATGCTTTATGTCTATATGTGCAAAATACCACATTCTCTCTTTCTTATATCAAAAGTTAGGTTATTCCCCAAGAAAATAAACAGCAATTCAAAACCCTTCGGACATAGTTTCATGTAAAGTCGATTCTGCTGCGTCAACTTTATCTTTCAGAAACACCCCAACGGGTCTGTGGGTTTTGTCACAGAGCTACTTTGGGCTTTACCATGAGGCTATGGTGTGGTCGAAATATCTGCTGTGTGGCATCTTTCAGTGACGTGCAACAACTCTAGTGTAAAAACCAAACCTTTTAGTAAGTAAGACACGAAAACACAATCTGCCACAACCCCATGTAATTGCTCCGTTTTCCTTTCTTTTTCTTCTTGTTGTTTTAACAGGATAAGCTTACATGATCCGACAACCGATTTGGACACCATCTTTGTTTCCGTTACATTCGGTCGCAGATATCTCAAACACGTTTTTTCTTTAGTCCACGTCCAATCTAGCATGCATTACCATGACTAGCCAGAGAATAAACAAAGAGGAGGAAATTTGTTTGTTCAGTTTTTGACAGTTTCTCACCCAATTATCAATGTCATATTTAAACGGAACATCTGCTGATAAAAATTGGCAGCGGATCAATCTGAGCTTCTCTAACACAGACCCAACTGTCTAATGAGAACCTCCCGCAAACCCCCTTTCACAACAAGGAGTGTTTTTCTTTCATGGGGTAAGGTTTCCTTTAAATACCGATGGCGTGGCAGAGAATGGGATGTTAACACAGCAGCTGACTGACTTATGCAAGTCAATATAATGAAGCTCCACCAACAAAATTCATGCACACGCTTTTTTTTTATCGTGAAAAAATAAAGCTAGTCCTGTTGTTCGCCAGTGTTACACTTCATAAAATGTCAATGACTCCTGCAACGATAAACACTTCAGTATTAATCAACTGTACTTTGTCAAAAGAAATCTCATGGGACATTAAGTCTGTTGACAAATATTCACTAGGAGCCTCAGTTTTGAATTACCTGTAGTGCCCCCATATATAATAATTACCCAGAGCCTGGATATTTAGCCTCGCCAGCTATTCAATTTATTTAGGAAGAAAAAGTAACACAGCTCCATTGGGCCTGTGAGATGTTTATGTCAGCGTAAAGCTCAACAAAGGCTTCACAACAAAACGAAACACAGGTAAATAAAAGCTGAACAGAATACCTCTATCCACTTTGTAGATAATGTCTGGAGGATAGCACTGAAAGCATCTCTGTGAAAAATGTCTTCTAAAAATATGACAAAAAGAAACACAGAAGCTGTCTGCTCAACCCAATTCATATAAAAACAATACTTCCCCCTCAGATTGTGTTAACAAGACAAACAGGGGTGAAATTGTTTCTTGCAGTCGCTCCTGATTCTCTGTTTACATTTTATAGTGGATACCAGCTCATTGTAGTAAGGCTCCACTTCCTCGTCTCTGCATCACCTACATAATTGAATAACCTATATTTAAAACCTGAATTCATTTTCACCAGTCACCCTTAGGTACAGCGGTACTACTTGCCATGTTTTGATGTAATCAGCACTACCTTTGCATGCCAAGAATGAAGGATGGAAATATCTTGGGCTGACACAAACTATTCTTAAAAAAGATTTTCATTTTTTTGTTGCATATTTTGAGAATTTAAGCTTCCCGCTGACTCCCCTGGCTCGCCCCCTTTCCCCACTTCTCTCATTCAGACCTCCAGCTCTCCTCTGCTCATCCCCACCCAGACCTGTATCGCACTCTCTTTAGCTCTTTCTCCCAATGCCACCCACCTACCACTGCCACCCAGAACCACCCAGACTGCTCTCCCGCTCTCTTACCGCGCTGAAATCCAGAAGGTCGCTGAGTTCCTTGTCAGTTCCCACTGCAGCCATTCTTTGCTGCTGTTCGTTCATACCCTTCAGTCTCTAATAAACCCTATGAGAGAAATTTGCAGATACAGGGTTTTAATGGCACTAGCAAGCACAAAGAGAATTTACATTTAGCTATTTAGAAAAAAACAGAGGGTGATGGTAATGAATGATTCAATCTACTCTATCTGTGCTATATCACAACCCTAGAGATGATTCATATTGGCAAGGTGTTAGTCTCCCATAAGATAGCAATGCAAGTCAGCATTTTTATAAATAATAAAACAACTTTCTTATTGCAAACGCATCAGAATTTGTGTTTGGGATTCAGAACTCCATCATAACACTAAAATATATGTATCCAGGTGAAAGCAAAGATCTTTTTCATCGGGAAGTTACATTAAAATAATCATCTATTGAGTCTCAGCTGGCCAAAACACACAGCTCAAATTACTACTTCACTCACTGCGGACCGATGAGGGAAAACAGACAACATTAGGCTACTTAACACTACACACTTTAGCTGTGTCTACTTAAAAATGCTAATTTCAGTCAGACGCTGCCTTCCCATCAGTAGCAGTAGGAGAGACACTGCCATGAAATGATGAATACTCTGCCCTTAGTCAAATCACTACCAAGTGATGACTTAAAAAATTGTCTTTCATTTTACGCAACCCTGGCAAATAACACAGCCATATGTCGATCATTGCGACATAAAAGAGAATGTAATACATTTACAATTACAGACATAATTGGGACTATTGTTAGCCCAAGGAAATAGGGGTGAAAGGCAGAGCTAATGACTGTATGCAAACACGTCATTACCAAATTACCATATGTCAACTCAGAAAGAACCTTGTCAAATGACACAGTGAGCATGAATACTTGATTTACCCAGTGTTTTGCATTCCAACGCAAGCCTGAGGCCGCTCTCTGATGCTTGAGCGGCGGTTTTGTGAGCCTCACAGGGAACTAGTGGTAAGGGGAGCGAGTGGAGGAATAGAGGCACTTGGACACCAACAGGTGGTGTGCTTTTACAGCCTCCTTTGTAATACTGCACTAACATAAATTGATGCAATCAAATAACTAAATAAAGATGGGTGTTTTGGAGGAAATGCAAGTTGTAAAATGTAAACAAAGGAAGCTCTAGATATTAAAAATATGTGTCCAGAAATAATAAGGAACCACTTGAAAGCAAAACAAAAGTATTAAATATCATAAATATATTTCTGCATGTATGAATATAACACAAGTCACCTCAGGGGAGACAAACAGTGCAGTCCAAGTCTAGTGAACTCAGGCGAGCAGAACTAATTTAACCTTGAGACAAGGGAAGGAAGTGAACGCACACACACACGTACACACACAACACATCGCCCCAAGTGTAAATAGGCTAGGAACATGGATGTCATTGCTTTTCCCAAACTTTTGGATAAGATGGCCAATCAAGGACAAAATAGGTCACACACACACACACACACACCACTGAAATAAACTTGCAAATATTATTTAACCACTGGGATAAATGGGAGTGGAGCACACGGAGGGGGCTTAATGTAACAAAATGGCATCTTCAGCTACTGCTGGATCAATATTTGAAGCAAGCAGATTAGGGGTCTTTGTCACCCCACACAAGGCAGGGAAGGCAGGTCACTCTCCACAAAAGAGCCTGCACCTCCGGGTGGTACAAACCACTGAGCTTAACAGATGCTTTACACCAGAAACTTATTGTGACATTTAAATTCAGGATACGACTTAAATGCATGTGGCTGCCTCTGATTTTGGCTTATAAACATAATAATAAAGGGCCAAATCAAGAACATTTTACCTGCTTTACAAACATGTTATAACTGTTGTTAATATTGAAACAATGCTGCTTAAAAGCACATTTCCCTGCGCATAGGTTGTGAATATTTCTGCATGGCAAATGTGAACATAAAAGCAAAATAACTCACTAATAACATGCTATTACTTCTGAGACAACAAGGGCCGCCGTGCTGAACAGAAAAGCATATTCAACTGTTGATTCAAATGCTCCTAAAGAAACGGATGTGAATGTCCTGCGCCAGAGACACATTATTATAAATAACAACCACTTTGGGTCAAATAGTTTACAACAATGACAGTAAACATCCAGGGGCACCACAGGATGTAGGGCTGCACATTATTTGATCATCTCCGCTAGGCCACATCCAGGGCCAAGCTGACAACTAACCCATTCACCATTTATTTTGAAGCACGTTGACATCATCTTCAACACTAACAAATCACCCAAGTTGTTTAGTAACTGCTAGAGAAAACAAATTATGTGTAAATAAAAAGCAGTGCAGCTGGTCGTGACCCTGGAGGATAGGAGCTGCAAACTTCATACAACAAATAGTGAGCTCTTTCTTTCACATATTAGGGTTCAAGTCGTGCATTATGAGGGAGTTCAGTGCAGGAGACGGTGGGGGTGGGAGCATGAGGAATTTCCTGCCAAATGTGCAATAAAATAAAGTCTAGCTGGTGGCCAGACACTTCCATAAAGGAATGTTTAAAGGGCAACCAAAAGGGGGTTTTATGGAAAGTTTGTTTACGGCTCGTGTGGAAAATACATGTAGGCCCACCATAGCACAAAGTTTAGCTAAAATGCTCACAACGTTTACATTTCATATTAACACATTGTGGCTACAGCTAGCGGCGGACACACACACGGTATGGAAGAAGAAAAACAAAATGAGGCTTGTTAGGCAGGACTTAACGTTAGTGGGGTCTTTTTGCAGAACAAAGGAGTAATTTCCTCCTCTCCGTGGTCGATGCGGAGACCATCACACACTTGGCTCGCCACCTCAAACCAGACAAAAAACTTACATCCCCCCGCTTTAACCACACATTCCCGAAAACTTTTCGAAAATTGCAGGCGTCTAAATAGGTGTCAGTGAAGCCCCATCGAATTCATGCAACTTCCCCGAAACATGAAGTGAAAGAAGGTGTTTTTACCTCTCCTCTCCAAGTGTCTGATATCCAACAGTAAAAAGAAAAGCGGAGACTCGCTAGGGGAAAAACATAAAACTTCAAGAGAATTTCGACCTCAGTGCATGAAACGCATTGGAGCACCGTAGATGTCTTCCTTTTGTCCCGGTAAGCCTGCTTTTCACACTTGCGCCCACGTGTTTGCCTCAATGTTACAAGTCTGAGTGCAAACAAATCTATTATAGTAACTAATCTCGCGTCTTCCTTTTTTGTTGTTACAACTGAGATGATTTCATTCTTCTCGTAGACATCTTCACCACCTCCGTCCACATTGTCAGACGCAACAACGTATCCCTCCGCACAAAAGTGAGGGCCTCAATGCCAGCGGTGTCCGATTTCAAACGCCTTTGAGAGACGGGGTGTTTTTACGGAGAAAAAAAATACAGCTTTAACGTCTTCCGACGGCCAAAGCGACGAAAACGTCTAATGCCGAAGCTCAGTTGTGTGTACTCTATCCGCAATCCTCAAAATGCAAGAGCGCTACGAGCACTAGGTCGTCCAGCGGAAGGCTATCGTAAGAAAGTTACCTGCGATTACACAGCAGCAGCTTGACGAGATGGCACGATAAATGCGAAAGAGCTGAGCCAATGGGGGAGCGTGTGCGCTTGAGTGGCGGCAACGGCAGCCAACGAGAGGCCGGGATTCCAAGTTGGACCCACCTTCTTCTTGACGCTCACTTTCCCTGTGTGCTCAGGGAAGCTGGCTGAGGGGGGCTCTAACATGCCCGCTGACATCATTTTATTACTTGGGTTGGTGGGCCCGCTTTCTGTTTTTTTTAAAAACAAAACAAAACAAAACAACCAAAGCTCAAAATGATTATTATTTTTTTATCATAATAACAACAGCAGTTGTTAAATAAATTATAATTTATTTAACAGATATAACAGCATTTTTTATTTATTTAATTTATTTATTTAACAGCAGTATAATAAATGCTGTTTAATGTAAAACTATTATTATTATTATTTTGTTATATCAACGTAAAACATGAGCATTTTTTAATTATATACATTATATAATTTTCTGATGTATGGTTATGGGTTGTTATAAAGGAGAACTATGTAGACTTTTTTTAAATATTATTTTAATTATTTTTTATTTTTAAGCCTTGCACTTACATGTTCATATTTTAATCTTTTAATTTATTTTTGTAATCATGAAACACAATTTCCAGAGGACTGCAACCGACAACAATTTTTGAATTTGATTAATCTGCTGTTTATCTCAACTAATCAATCATTTTGTCTACAAATATTAGAAAATATTTTTTAAAATGCTTATTATAATTTACCACAGAATAAGGGGATGTATTAAAACACTTTTTCTCAGCAGCAGCAACACTGCACAGATGCTATAGAAGCAAAGCTTATTTATTTATTTATTTATTTATTTATTCATTTAATATATTCTAATGGTTTAGTGAGTATAGGAGCCTTGATATTTTTAATCATGTACTGTCTGTGTTGTTTTATTTTTTAATATGTGTGGATGCCATGTCTTTTTACTGCAAAACAAATCTACCCACTGGTAAAATAAATAAAGTAACCTGAGCCTGAAGTTATTGTTAATATAGTCTACAGTTTACTGTCATGTGTGACAAATAAAAGCATCAAATCCTCACAATAAAGACGCTGGAACAAGTAAATATTTGGCATTTTTGTTTGAAAACTGTCTGACATAGTTAACAGATTATCCAAAATAGCAGATTTTCTGTCAATAGAATAATTGTTTTGGCTCTAATTTCCGCACAGTCTGTGTTTTTGTGAATGAGCTGATAAACATGAAACCAACCCAGCCCTAGTAACTGCCTGCTCCAGAGCAGAGTGGAGAGGAGGGAGAGCACAGAGTATAGGATCACAGAGGAGGGGGGGGGGGGGGGGNGGGGGGGGGGGGGGGGGGGGGGGGGGGGGGGGGGGGGGGGGGGGGGGATAGTTCAGAGAAAACAGTTTAAACAGGGAGGGCACACCGGATGATCAACGCAAATGTGTCTGTAATGTTAAAATACTGCTTTTACAAGATGATAAAATCAATGTATAGATATTTTAAATGAACTGCAGCTCAGTCACCAATATGATGAACATACAGTGGAATAAGTTTATATGACCCTGATGTGTTTCCTGCCTTCATTCAATATGCACACAACATCCCTCACACAAAAACACTCTTTTGTAAAGTGTATGTAGGTGTTTGACAGCTGTTGTATTTAGCCTGAGGGAAAACGTTGTCAAAGAAGAGGGAAGTTAAGATGACCCTGCTTTGTTTTGTGGTCTGCAACTTCGAAAAATTACTGTGGTGTAAATATACATATATGCTAGACATATGTTATTTTAGAAAGACACAGAAACCTCCTGACACAGAAAGATTTCTCAGCACACAGCTATCACTATCGACCACTACAAAGGCCACAGTGACACGAGTATCTTTTGATTCACTGTGCGGGCAGGGTGCCCATGTCTTGGGTGTGAGCTGTATAACAAAATTAAAACATGATAAATGCAAATCCTACATAACTGCCTAGTGTCATCATATGCCATTAATGCCTCAGACTGTGTATTAGCACAGAGGTCACCAATGGGAAGGGGGATTTGCTGTCAATAGGACATATAGGTAAATAATCCATTGGGTGTCCCCTGGGTGGAGGAAAAGCCTTGGCACAGAACATTAATTAGTCTCATGGACCGTCTTAGGAATGTAATGGGGTTACTGCTCGGAACAAACGCACATATGGGCCGTAAATACCTTCACAAACATACCATGCACACATTCACATGTGGTCACGCGCACAGGTACTCACAGACATTCACACACAAAAAAAAATCCTGTCGCATCAGAAAATAATCACAGCTATCAAAGAAAGAGCATCTTGAGTTATTTATCTAACACCTATTTGGAATCCTTTCATTGAGGAATGTATTAATGAAAAGATTAGATTTGAACAGATGGAAACATCTGTTTGGGAAATGAATTTGGAGTGGAGGCAGAGAAAATCTCTCATATTCTCACTCTTTTTTTTTTTTTTCCAGTAGACGTTAGGCCTTGAGTAAGAATAGTGCTGTTGTCAGTATTAGCAATGAGGCTTGTAAGCCCTCCAAGTAGTTTGTAGTAACAGCTGGGTCTGACATGGAGAGCATGTACAAGGGCAGCCAGGCTGAAGAAAGGCAGGGGGCGGCAGAAAAAGAATACAAAAAAAACATATATAGTGAGGATCTTCACCTTAATGAACACAGAGTGCGTCTAACGGTGACACAAGGTTAAACAGAAATCGGCTGTAGGAAGGTGAAGACAGGAGAAATGTGTTTTAAAGCGTTGTCCTCTCCTGACCTGTGTGCCATCATGCCTTTAAATTTTTTACTAGTGAATTTGGGTGGTACTACGTTCTCATTGGAGCCAAGGGCAATAACTGGTTTAATATGTCATTCCTGTTTTTTTTTTGCAATTTAACATTCAGCTGCTACAAAATAATCATTGGAGCCTGGAATATATGAACATTATAATGCTGCTGTCCACTATTTTGTTTGTTTCACAATTAAGAGGGACAGAGGAGACACTTTTGGGGGGATGCAGAGGACATGTCTCCTTTAATATTTAGAACATGTACATTTGCAGCCAGTTCTCACTCCCAGCTAATGAAATACCACTGCTTTGTCAATGATTAGAGCATCAGATACAGACATACAGAGGCACCTTTTGCAGCAGTGTGATATGCACCAAGTGGCGGCTACTTTTATTTATTTTCTAAGATTATTTTTGGCTTTTTTTCTTTGCCTTTATTTGATAGGACAGATTAAGTGGAATCAAACCTGTGGCTGTTGTGGCAGGGACATTGCCTTTTTTTATATAGGGTGCCTGCTCTACCCACTGAGGTACAGGGCGCCCCAAGGCATTGGCTATTCTGCCGCTGCCAGCCACAACCAAACTCATAAAATACCACCGCTTTGTGATTGGATGTCAGCGTCAGACCCCGACGCACCAAGACGCTCTTTGTTGCAGTATGATACGCACTGGGCTGTGGCTATTTTTTATTTTTTAAGATTATTTTTTGGCCTTCATTTGATAGGACAGACTAAGCATGAAGAGCCTGGTCTCACTCCGAAGTCGTCAAAATCCGCCGTTTGGGCAGTGACGTGCAGCATAAAAAAACAGTGAAAAGAGGGGGAAACGCGGCGGGACAAGGACGAAAGTTAAGCTGGCGAAAGTCCAGCTGGGGTGGATGGGTCCAACAACCACTGACCTTTACCCGAGAGAGCGGTGTTTGCGTCCCGTAAGATTCTAAAACCAAACCCTGTTCTTTTTTCCTAAACCCAACCATGTGTGTTTGTTGTTGAGGGAAAAAAAACAAAACATAAATTCGCAGTGTTGTAATGACGTAGTGCTTTTATTTTGAAAGAAACTGTATGTTAACGTTAAATTTCCTGTGAAAAAAAAAGTGTATTTTGAAAGAAGACAATGCATGTAACAGGCAGAACTTGACACAGCATCCCAGAACGTCAACAACCAACACACCCAGGGTACCTTTCACATCGTATCTGGACATGGTAAGTCCATGACCAAACGACAATATGTGACGAGGTCGGAGTGAGAATGTGTTGGCGTGAGAGAGAGAGGAGAACCTGCAGAAGCTGCGGCAAGGATATTGCCTTTGTATATGGGGTGGACACTCTACCCACTGAGCTTCTGGGTGCCCCAAGGTGTTGGCTATTTCTGACACTGCTGGCCACAACCAAACTCATAAAATGCTGTCGCGTTGTCATTGGATGTCAGCGTTAGACCCTGATGCACTACAACACTCTATGTGGCACTATGATACGCTTCTGGCCGCCCAAAACTACCATAGTATAAAGAATGAGGAAGTGCGTGTAGGGCGGGTTGGAGAGCAGGTGGATGGGTCAAACAAACATTGGACTTTCCCCCTGAGAGTCCACTGTTCGTTTACCGTATGAAACCAAAAGGCAGTGCAGTTATTTTAATAACAACGTAGTGTGCTAGCATGTGTGGCATGCTACACCAGTAACTTATGTCACATGACATGACATTACATTAGTAAGATCCGCACTTATTTTAAACTAAACCATGATGTTTTTTTCTAAACCTAACCAGGGACTTGTGTTGTCTACACCTACACTGTATGTTTATATTGAAAAAGACTGTATGCACGTGACCAGCATAAACTGAACATTTCCTGTGAAAACAGAAATGTATTTTGAAAACAGGGTTAGGGTTGGGGTTAAAATGCAGTGTTCTAAAAAGAGCTCTCTGAGGGGCAGGGGCTCTCGGGGACTGGTAGTGTGGGAATACTTAAATATGTCCTTTTATGAGTCCAGACAGGGGTTGGAAGAGCCCCATAAGCATTACAATAATTTAAAATTTTGGATCAAATCTGAGGGTACTGGGCCACTGCACATGTGGGGCAATGGGAACTTTGTTATTTATTAACAATGCTCCTGTCCCCCAGGGTCTCTGGAGAAATAACCTGGCAACTGCCGATGAGATTTATGAAATAATTAGGTGTTAGAGTTAGGGTTACATGTGGGCTAGGGTT